ATTTTCAACTACAGGGTCAACACAAATCCGGTTAAAAGGACAATAGGAAGCATGTAAAATCATTTTTAAAAAGGTGAAAAGCCAATGAAGACCTGCACCTTCCTCTCATGAAGATTACATATCCTTATAGGTGCAGAGAAATGCTTGGATTTAAGAGCTGCATATGTCTACAGCATGCCCACCTGGTCTTTAAAAGCGTTTCACTCATTCAAAAAGAGAAAACATTTCATAGAAGTTTTTTCAGTATTTCCCCAAAGTTCCTATTTTTCTATCAGAAAAACTGAAAAAAGGCCACAGGAGAAAAAAATGGGGGGACCCCCCCCCCCCCTGAGCTTTTCTGGTTTCCCCCCCAGGCCTTCACATATCTAGGTATGCCTGCCATGGACACATAACCTTAGCTTTCACTGGAAATACGGTAGTGTGGGTGGATGTTCTGGCAGTAATCTGGGCCAGTATGGTCCAATTCCTTTCATCTTTAACACTGCAACTTCCATAATTACCCTGAAGCTGTCAGCTAATTTTTAGGCACCTAGCTGTATTTTCTGATGAGTTATGCATGCCACGGACAAACAAATGGATAGATGGACAAATTGATACCTCCTTTTATAATAGATAAGCTTTTGTGGGCTGTGGTCCACTTCATCAGATAAATGCTCAACCAGCAGCTATACACATACTCAGACATACAAATTGTGAACAGTGGATTAAAAGGCCATGAAATGAAACTCTGGTAGTTTGTGATATTTCTGTGCAAATCTCAAAAGTGATTAGATCAGTTTAGGATTGCTCTTTTAATGTATAAAATGATGAAAGCAAACTTCTTTTGACAGCTGGAGATGTACAGACTTATTAAAAATATGTGCCTGTTTATGAATGCTGTGTAAGTTATTTTGATTTAATCCTTGTGAAAACGTTTCCAGTTGACAGTCTTTGGAATGTAAAAAATATATTCATGTTCAGTTCTACAAAAGAGCCTTAAAGTGTGCTTGATCCTAGACTTTAAAAAACATGTGGTTTGAGCGTCTTGAGGGCTGGATCCAGACTAAATTTTCCAGTGACAGAATGGAACTTTCATGCCTTTCCCCTCCCACTGCAGCCCACTGACCTCCATGAAATGCTTTTCCTGGGGAATGACATGAGGAGGTCTGTAGCAGAAAGGAGAAATCAGCAGAAATTGCCAGTTTAGTCTGAGCTAAAGTGGGGCAAGGAACAAGTAAGGTTCCAGCACTTCTCCCTCCAGAATGCTAAAATACATTTGTAATCCTAATGGCAGGTGAAGGGCAGGAACGCAGATGGCGTCACACAGAATTACAAAAAAGAGAGTTGGGGTAAAACAGGCCACAGCGTTATTGATTACAGCAACAGGAGCATTGGCACAGCATAGGGTGTGGATCCAGGCATTGGACAACCTGCCTGCCGTCTGATGGACACCCACCCCAGCCCATCTGCTGGAAGTAGATCTGGGATGGCAAGTGTAGTGGGTCCCTTACCACTTATGAGTGTAGCTAAGCAACAGCCCCTGGGCATGCCACAAACTGGCTCCACCCCCAAAACCCCTTAATGACGTTCCTGTGAGAACGAAGCTTGAGTCCAAAAATCAGTTTGTTAGCGCTCGCATTTGTGTGCTAATTTGTTGCCATTCATTGATCTTACCAGCCACCTTGATATAATCACAGCTTTATTTATGCATCTTGGCTCTGACTCCCCCCCCCCCCCAATCTTTCTGTATGTAGGGCTTGAGGAAGTTCTGTTTCAGGCTGTATCTGAGCAAGTGTACTTGTACACGAAAGTTCATACCTTGAATAAAACTTTGTTGGTCTTAAAGGTGCCACTGGACTGAAACTTTGTTCTGCTGCTTCAGACCAACACGGCTACCGATTTGAATCTCATTACACACAAGCCCCCCCCCTCACTACGTCAAGGCAACAATCCATGAGTTGGCTGGCAATTCTCAAACATCAGCATGAATAAACGGAAGTGCAAGAGGTTGAGTTGTTTTCTAGTTTTCAGCTCTCAATGCTCTTATCAAAAGCAAAAGGAAGAAATGGTTGTGTATCTCCTTTCCTTTTCCTCTAAAGCAGCACAAATAGCAAAGTATGGGGGAAGGAATTCCTTCTTTCTGTCCTCAATTAGTCTATGTGGATTTTAGCTAGTGCTATAGGACGAGAGGGTTGAGTGGGAAAAGATGAGTAGGGTTTTTGTTTTGTTTGTTTTCAAGAGAAAGGGGAAATGCTACAATCCTTCATATTAGGTTTGAGGGACAGTTGGTATGCTTGGAGGTTTTGTTGCAAGAAAAAAATGAAGAGTTATACTAGAAGGGGTTAAAGTTGTTCCTACCCCACCCCTCAGAACAAATAAGAATTTTGACAGTCCCGAAACAAGAAATCCAGGGAGATCACTGACCAAAAGATAGCTATTTGCACAAAGTTCTTTCCTTATGTCAACTTGGCTTTCACTATTATGCAACACACCCAGATGTCAGGGAAGGGTTTTTTATACTCTTGGAAATAGAATGGGTCCCTGGATGCAGTTCATAGTCCCCATATCGTTTGTGGCTTAGTAATGTGCATAAATGGGTTTTCTCAAATCTGAATGTACTAAAAACCAAAACCTCTAAAGCTTGACACTACTGCTGAAAAATGTACTTAGCATACCATACTGTTCAGCATCTTGGTGTGAATTGTACTATGCTTTGGTGTAGGTAGTTATTGATTCCACATTATTCCTCTCGTCCCTTAGACTGCTACTTAAACAATAACTGGAGCCATTTTACAAGTTAGGATTCAGTGCACGTTCCTGTGTATATTGAATACTAGCCTGATACCCGTGCTTTGCTATGGTATTTAACTTCCGTAAATCCAGCTATAATACTGATGATGTAAAGTTTGAAATGTAAAATTTGTTGTGAAGACTGTAGTGTAAAAAATGAAGTGAGACATACGTATTTTTTCTCTCTCTACTGAAGGACCTCTGTAGACTGCTGGACCTCTGTAGACTACTGGGGCGGGCTCCCTCATGGCTTTAAGCACCCTGCATCCGCTGCTGCACCTGACAGACAACTGCCTGTTAGGTGTAGGAGGTGGGGAGAGTGTTTTGGAAGCCATCAGAGAGGCTGGGCCAGCAGCATCGGTAAGGTGATCCCGCTGGGGCAGCGTCCCTGATGGATTAAAGTACCTTGGTCCTGCTCTGACACCTGACAGACACACGCCTGTATGGTGTTGGGGGGATTATGTTTAAAGGCATCACAAAGTCTGGGCCAGCAGCAGGGCTAAGGCAGTCTTGTTGAACAAACCTCCCCGGTGGTTGTAAGCATCCCACCTCCTCTCCTACACCTGAGAGGCAGCTGCCTGTCCAGTGTAGGAGGGGGAGGAGTATTAGAAGCTACTGTGGAGGCAGGGCTGGCAGGATCACAAAGTCATTACTGCTGGGGCAGGCTCCCTCGTGGCTTTAAGCGCTCTGCAAATGCTGCTGCACCTGATAGACAACTGCCTGTCAGATGTAGGAGGGGGGAGCATGTTTGAAGCCATAGGGAGGCTGGGCCAGCACTTTTGCTTCACCTCACAGGCACCTCACACACTCCTGATTTCCTCAACTGTCATTAGTTCTCTGTAGTCCCCTGTAACTGTTGTTTTTACCTCAGAACACTGAGCTCTGCAGCTGACGAATCAGAGAGTGGGGGGGTGCAAGGAGGCAGCAGCCTGGCAGCTGCATAGGAATCAATGGGGGAGCACATTTCCCCCTTTTGACCCACTTAAGGGTCGAATATCTAAAAATCCCTTCTTAATGAGCATCTATGCCATGGTAGGAGTGCTGTCCCCGAATTTGGTGTTTCTAAGTCCAGGGGTTTGGACTGGGCGTTGATTTTACGGTGAGGCGACATTCTTTTATATATATAGATGACAATCAGGTTTGTGGCTTAAAATCAATTGCCTGGTCGATGCATTAGTCTGATCCTGTGGTTCTGCTATGCAACATTTTATACCAGCATTGTGTTGATGTAGAACCCTTCCAAAAGTGAACTATCAAGACAATGCCAGTAGACACCTGCAAGCACAAGAGTTAACCTTCTCTCAGATAGGCAAACAGTCTGAGCTAGACATGAAAGGAAAGATTCCAGTCATAACAGGCAGATAGCTCTGTAGGCTGGTGGGTAGGAGACCTATATGGTGAGCCCATTGGGCCCTTCAAGCTTGATGGCAGACCACTGCTGTCCTCAACAATAGGCCTGGCGGAACATCTCTGTCTTACAGGCCCTGTGGAACTGCGTTAGGTCCCACAGAGCCAGGATGTCATTAGGCAGAGAGTTCCACCAGGCCAGTGCCAGGGCTGAGAAAGCCCTGGCTCTGGTCAAGGACAGCTGGATATCCTTTAGGCCAGGGATCTTGAGGAGGTTCAGAATGTAATACCCTTTGGGGGGGATATATAAAGAGAGGCAGTCCTGAGGATACTCTGGTCCCAGACTGTTTAGGGCTGTAAAGGTCAGTACCAGAACCTTGAACGTGATCCAGTACTCAACTTGGAGCCAGTGCAGCTCATGAAGTGCTGGTTGGATATGTGCTGTCAATGGGGTCCCAGTAAGGACCTGCGCCACTGCATTCTGGACAAGCTGTAATTTCCAGGTCTCGAGGGCAGCACTGCATAGAGCATATTTTTGTGGCAAGTTTCCTTTCACCAGAGTTCCCACAATAAATTATTTGTACTAAGTTTTTTCTGATTTTAGGGCTGAGTGATGTATGTCCACCCCACATGCTGTGATATCGGAGATGTGTGTTTCCTGTCCACAGTTTATTTATTGAATGACTGTAGAGTTCCTTGATAAGCTATCTTCCTGTGTGATCTGGTGTAAATCTACTATACTGGCATATCTAGTATAATGGAACAGAGTGATCCTATCTTTGTCTTGCAGGTGAAACTTAAGGATAGTGAAGTTCTGTGGATGATCAAGTAAATGTCTTGATATTACTGTGACATTTCTGCATGTGATGTTTTTGTCTCAGCAGACAATCAGCCAGATTCCCTGCTCAAACAGGATTCAGCTCTGTCAAATTGTAGCAAAATTACATTTCAAGTGGTTTCAAGTGATAGGCGAAGCAGGTCTACACAATAATGGAAGAGGGCAAGAGCTCAAAAAGTGGAAATCATGAATCAAGAAAATCTGCCCACGTCGTCTGTGAGGAAAGTAAAACTGCCCGACTTGCAACCAATCAGAATTATAAACATAACAAAAATGACAAATCTGTAAAAGAAGCCGTGAAGAATTCTTTAAGTGGAAACAGTACTAAAAAGAATAAGCAAAATGAAGTTTGTACTGAAAAGTCAGGGGGAAACAAATCATGTAAGACAAATAGTGGCATTGCTGGATGCAAAGACTTGGGGTTAGACCCTCAGGATCAAAGACATGGCAAAACAAAAGGATTACCAAATTTACCAGCAGCAGAAGAAAACCTGAAACCTGAGTCTAGTGATCAGCACATGGATGAAAATTCTCTGAGCTCCCATCTTTCAGGGAATGGTGGCAGCACTGAAACATCACCAACTGCAGAAAGAGAAGCTTCTGAACTGGAAAATCCTTCAGGAGATGATGCATCCAAAATCGTTATGAATTGGCCTACTGACTCAGGCAAGAGTGGTTTGGATCAGAAACCAAAGGAGCACAAGTCTGAAGACTCCTGTGAGTATTACATTCAGCTTTTTAAACTGAAAAAGTCTGAACTATGCTCATTTATATGCTAGCTAAAGCATAGCAACAAAACTAAGTTTTAAAGATTTAAACTAACTGCAAGACTATTACAAATACAGAACTATTTCTCTGCATATTATTGCAGAAGATATTATGACCCTGGCATAGAATATTCTCTTTTATTTTCTCAGTTACTATTCTCAAAAGATGCTATAAGAGTGGTGTCTCAGATTAAGTAGCTGTTTATAAATCCAAGGAGGCCAGCAGATTTTTCTCCCTTTCCACTTCAAAGGTTGTCAGTCATCTTTGAAATGGAGGACCTAGTTCTGACTTGGTATTGCAAATGGGGGGAGGATTACATTTTTAAATGCATTTATATTCAGAAAAGTTTACAAATAGAAAACCAACACAACAGGCAAAGACCTTGAGGAAAATCTCTTTCCCAATTGTTTTAATTATCCATTTCAATTAAAGCAGTGTTTCTTTTTAAAATGTGGGCTAATTCAAAAGGGGATCTCTCCATCTGCGGTACAAAGTGGAACAGTCCATTTTTTCACATCTGATTCATTGCTTGTAGTACTTATGATTTTGGTGGAAAGATTGTTGGACTTGGAACTCAGCCTGGGCTGAAGAAAATCTGCTCGAACAAGGGATGTCTGAGTAGCCAGGCACATGTCGTCATCTGCAAACCTAAATTTTTTATCTTTAAAATGAAAATAAAACAATTTGTCTTATAAATTTGTTGTAACTATAGCTGAGAAAAGGAGTTTGCTATTTATGCACAAATCATACGTAGTTGATAATTAGATGCATATATGGAATTATAGACTTTAATAAATATTTATGTGTTTCTTAAATGCTTAAAATGCTTCATAAACATTATCACAGTAATCCCGAACTACCATCCCTCATTTAATGATAACTGAAATTCTATGTTATTTTAATTGTTGCACATTTCTGTGCTTAGTTCTACTTATTTATCAAGAAATGGGCATATCCACACTATTGAATTTCTTGTGTGTCTTCATAGCCTTTGTTTCACTTTGTTTAAATTAGTCTAGGGAAAAAACACGTTAATCATCTTCATTCCCCTCATCCCACTAGGTAAAATGAAGAATACTGATTCTGCTAAAGAAACTAATTCTGAAGGTGATTATTTAGAAAGTGTAACAGTAATTGATGAATCTACACTGATGGCAGAACAGCAGCTAGGCTTGAAACAAGCCGAAGAACGACTGGAAAGAGATTATATCATCCGCTTGGAAAAAGTCAGTAGTTAATATATTTTCTTCTCTTGTTTTTGAATACTTTATCTTCTGGCACAATTAATTCTAAAGAATAACTACACTGGTTACTAGACTTCAAGTAAGTTGTGATAAAATCATAGTATCACAGAGTTGGAAGGCGCCATAAAGGCCATCTAGTCCAACCCCCTGCCCAATGCAGGATCAGCACTGGAATTTAGTTAGAACAAATGGAATTGGCAAGGGCTTATGGGGGTCTTTTATTTCCCCTTGTATTCCCTTCCTCATACTATTTCTTCTTTCTCTTCTCCTGGCAGCTCCTTATCCTGTTCTCTTTCTCTGCTTGCTTCTCCCCTTCACACTCACCCACCAGCCTTTCTTTAATCTGCCCTGGGGTTGTCAGGTCCTATCTGGCAGCCAGCAGGGGGCTTCTGGGTCCTTTCTACTGCATGAGTGATGACATCACCTGGAAGTGATATCATTGTGTCGCTGCCATCAGAGGAGGGTGATGCTCTAGTATTTGGGCAAAGCTCTATGGGATTTTTTGCCTTCAAAACCATAGTTTCCCCAAAAACTAGAGCTGTGTTCCCCCCCCCCCCCCGACATCAGCAATGCAATGATGTCACTTCTGGGTGACGTTGTGATGTCTCTGTTTGGGGGTGGGTTTTCCCCTGCCAGCCAGCTGGCAAGTGGTGGATCAAAGCCCTCAAAGTGGGGGAACCCCTGCTGAGACTTGGGGGCTGGGAACCCTAATTTGCCTCCACCCAGTCTTCAGTGTTTTCTGTTATTTATTTACTTCACTTATATATCACTTTTCTTTCCAGTGGGGAACCAAAGCAGCTTACATCATTTTTCTCTCCCCCATGTTTTCCTTGGGTCTCCAATTTCTCTCCTTCCCTCCCCCTTATTAACGTGTTAGCTGAGCTCCGAGGCTTTGAATTACAGATGATTTTTAACCTTAGCACAAAAGAAGCAAAATTCCATGTGAAAGCAACCAGACACAAATATAATTTAACTATTTTCATTTCAGCTATGCAACAATGAAGATTTTAGGGCAGCTAGGTTCATTCCTTCATTTAAACTTTTTATTACCTATTCTTCAACCCAAGAGGATAAATTCTCCAAAACCCCACAAAATCTCCAAAGAACAACAAAATTCTGAAAGGAAAATTCTCCACTGTTCCTCTTAAGAGGATAAAATCCCCCCAAAACAAATTCTTAATAAATTCTAGCACACCTTACCTCAGTACTGACTCTTCTTACATCAGTGCTAACTGTCTATAGTACTAGATTACAAATTATGGCAACCTCCCTAGTTTCCAAGAGTAATATTTATTTGTTAAATTAGACTTTTAAGCTGCCCTCCCCTGAAAAAACAAGGCTCAGGGTGGCATACAGCACAATAAATCCAATATGACAATGTGACAATAAAATTAGTTGGCAACTTATCATTCAGTTGGAGCAGTCTCTCCAAAAGGAGGTAGAAGATAACCTGAAATAGAGAACAGAGAGGCCATAGGCCACTTTCCTTGCCCTACTTCTCCAAAGCTCTGCTTCTACATTTATGCACTTTTGGGGTAACCTCCCTCTCATAAGATTACAAACTTGGCCAAATATACTATGCAGCCATTTGTGGATTTTTTTCAGTTCAGGGTCACCCAAAATAAACATGAAACTTGGCAAGATCATTTTGCATGGTCATTTTGACATTAAGAGAAAATATGCAAAATTCCTTGTGGATTTCTCTTACTCTGTATGGGTCATGTCACCTTTTTTGGTTTTCCCTGTTACTCCTTAAAATACCAGGAATTCAACCTCTAAATGAGTTCTGGGTCACTTTCCCCAAGGCTCATCCAGAACATTAGGAAGTTGCCCAACTACTGTCCCTAACACACACAGTATCTTAGATCATAAGTGACACAACTGGGGAAGGCGGATTTTGAACGCGGTCCAAACATGAGACTGGTTCAAACCTGTCGAAATAGCTACTGTCAGAGAGTAGTCCTCCTTCTTGAGAACAAGGTTTAGTGAGAGCTGTCCCCTCATGCACACACAGCTCCCCCAAGTGTCTTTTAGGACCCCTTGACTGATAACATGACAAATATATACTTACTGTAGACCAGACATGTATGTGTGAACACATAGCAAGAGAATTTAAATGCATAGTGAGAGAGTAGTGTGTGACTTCTGATATTCCAAGGTATGCTTTAGGAAATAAATCCACACGGCCTGTAACATCCTTTTGAACTCATTTGACTGTTTAAAACCCTCAGCAATCTTCCTTATTTTCTTAGTTCTATAACTTGACTTGACTTACTTTAGAATTCTTAAATTATTAAATTGTCAGACCAATATTAATACAAGTGAGATTTGCTTTTGGAAGGCTGAACACTTCATATTCTTTTTAAAAATCATAACCAAATATTCCATGTTTCATCCTTGCTCTGTCTCCCTCTCCTAAACCTGCTGTATTTGAACCTCAGTTACTCTGATCTTTGATCTTCTTCAGTGTCAACAGTATCTCTGGGATCCTTGCCCAGAGTCACTTACAAACAGAACAAATTTTGGCCCTGTCACATGCAGAGCAAAGACTGTGACAAAAGCCCCAAAACTGATAGAAACCATGTCAGTATTTTTCAAATGGACAGAAAAATTTCTTTATTAGGCCTGAGATCTAAATTTTAGTTCTGTTGGTCTCTTTTGTTAGCTTTATAGAAAGACTAGGAAAAAGGCCCGTTGTGGAAATAAATACAACGGCCTCTAGAAAGAGGCTCTGGGCGGGTGCCCCGGCCTTGGACACTCAGTGTCAATTTGCTGTGGCGACCTCAGCAGGGTATAATGACACTGAGTCCACCATTTTCTCCAGAGGAACTGATCTCTGCTACCTAAAGAACAGTTGTAATTTTGAGTGATCTCCAGCCCTCACCTGGAGATTGGCAATGATGGTTCCCCAGAAGGGAATAGTTGGTTTGGAGGGTGGAGTCTATGGCTTTGTACCTGTCCAAGGTCCCACGCCTCCTGAAACCTCACCCACCTGGAGTTGGCAACCCTATCTCCTTCTGAGCCTACCTTTATTTCCCCCTCACTCTTCAGCTTTCCACCCCCCACACACCTGCAGCCTCTCCCATGCTCTGAAGCCCTGACTGCTACGTCACATTGGCTGTCATATGGGGGCCACCTCAGCAGCATATAAGGATACAGAGCCCACCATTTTCTCCACTACCATTCGGCTTTTATTTATAAGGGAGATGTGCCTTGTCTGTTCACGGCCCCAATTTCTGGATTTAAATATCCACAGATAGAGGTCATGTTGAGAATTAGATATAGATTAGCTAGAATTATGGTTACATAAGAACCAGATGAGAATGGATGGGGCTTCTAGGGAGCAGGAATACTTCGGTAATATGTAATAATATGGCTGAACTCTTTACTTCATGACATGGTAATTAGGGGAAATCTCAACCTGTAATGTTCTTCTGCAGTGCATGTGCTTACTATTATTTTCTAAAAGCCTTCATGGAAAAAAGACATAAAGTAGCTGCTAAATTTTAAATATGTTTTTTTCCCACAGAGATCTCCTGAGTACTCTAATTGTCAGTACCTATGCAAGCTCTGCTTAGTTCATATTGAAAATATCCAGGGAGCTCACAAACATATTAAAGAGAAACGCCATAAAAAGAATATCATGGTAAGTGTCTTAGACTAAGGCTTGGAGTTTCTTATCAGAAACATATTTTTGAGCACTTAACTTAATTTGTAAAATTATCATGAGTGAACTTAGGAAATTTGGCTGAAACCAAGGTAAAAACAGTCACAGGACTTTAATAATATGTCACTGTTGCTTATGCCCTCCCTCCAATGTTCCCTCTAAGCTCCACAGTGTTGTGAGCAGAAATTCTACCTCGTGAGTGGGAAAAAACAGTAGCATTAAGTTGTGAGCAAGTCTACTTGTGAGTGAGTCTACATTTGACTATCATGTACATTAGTTTTTTAGAAGATTACTTCCACAACCTTGTAAAAATCTCAGAAAAATTCTTTTAAATATATATTTTAGAATAATACATACAAAACATACAAACATGAAATATAAACTACTGGCTGTATTACAAGTCATATGTATAACTTTACTTATATATGCTTATAATATTTCATTTGGCTATCACATACATTAGTTTTTTGTACTACCATAACCTTGTAAAAAGCTCAAATGCATTCTTTTAGAACATATTTTAGGAAATATTTAAACCTTAAACATTACAAGTGGAGACAGAATTAAGTCAAATTCCATTTAAAAGGCCACCAGAATCTGGCTGGGTAGTCTTGCAGACTTTACAAAGAGACAGAGAGAGGAGAGAGGGATGGGAATGGATTTCCCTAAATGAAGCACAAAGAAAGACAAATCCACTTCCTCCATCCCCCTCCCATGGGCTGAATCCTTTGCCCCTTCCTTCACCAGCTTACAGTTGCTATGTCCCCCCTGGCTGGGGGTGGTGGTGGAGGACTGCTTTACCAGATCCAGGTTGGGAAACTCGAGGAGGTTTCAGTATGGTGCTGGGGGGGGCAGGGACCTCAGTGGGATAGAATGCCAAGTCTACCCTCCAAAGCATCCACTTTCTCCAGGGGAACTGATCTCTATAGTCTGGAGATGAGGTATTGCAGGGGATCCCCAGGTCCCACCTGGAGGCTGGCATCCCTACCCCATAATAACCACCCATGCAGTAAGTGCCATGGGTGGTTTTGGCCCTTGCTGCACAACTTTCAGCAGCTTGCTTTTTTGAAAATTCTTCAATCCAACTGAGAAACAGAGGTTTGGAGGTGGAGCATGGGGAAGACAGGAACCTCAGTGGGGTAGAATGCTGGTGTCCACCCTCCAAAGCATCCATTTTCTCCAGGGGAACTAATTGATATGGAGCTGAGCTATAATAACTTGGGGGGGGGGTTCCCTGCCCAGGTCCCACCTGGAGGCTGGCATCTCTGCTGGAAGCCTTGGATGGTGGGCTCAGGATGCACACACCCTCCCCCCCATGAAACTGCTGGAGTGAGGCTCTTGGATGGTGAGTGCAGTCCATGCACCCTCTTTGCATGGGCTGCTGCAGGACCAGGTTGCATGCTTCCCTTCTCCCCCCCACCCCCCCGAGCCTGCTGGAGGATCTTAGAATGGCGAGTGCAGGCTGGGCGCTTCTTCCCGCCTCCCCCCCATGGGCTTGTTGGGGCCATGCCACACACTCTCCTCCTCTCCCAATGAGCCTGCTGGAGGATGAGTGCAGGCTGAACCCCCATGGGCTCATCGGGGCCAAGCCGCACGCACCCCTCCTTCCCCATAGAGCCTGCTGGAGGCCCTTGGATGGTGAGCGCAGGCCACACACACCCCCTCCCCAGGATTTCTGGAGGTCTCTGCCAGCTACCGGGGCTAGGCTTCACACACATCCCTCCCCTGGCAGTCTCCCCACAGCCCAAGTTTATCAGCTACCTACCAGCTGGCTGATGCTTCAAGGTGATTGTTATGTATGCAGACCGCCACCAGGGGTCCGCGGCTACAGTCAGGAGTTTAGCTCCTCTAAACAATAGGAACCTAGGATCCTAGTTCTCCCAGCATTCACCAATAGCAACTTTGGTGGGAAATTCAAACCCTCCAACGGGAATGTGGGTGTGCTGGGTGGGTGTGTATATAGTTGGCCTTGCAGGGCCATTTTGCAGTTTCAGTGTGAAGTACAATAAACATGAGCAAATGCATGTCGTTGTCCGAGGCCTCCATGCGGCGAACCCAGTACTTTACAGTGGCGACGAGGATGGGATACTGCTGAGCCAGGCTTGGCTTGCATCCCAGCGCAGCACCGAGCATCGATGCAGCCGACGCCACTGCGCCCCACATCGTTCCCGAGCAGCACCGCGCCCCATGTCCAGGACACCGCTCTGCGCCAAAGCCATGGCCTCTGCTCAAGGAAACCTGGAGATCTTCGATCCAGCCCATCCCGAACTCTGAGACTCATGGATGGACCAACTGACCTGCCACCTCGCCTACAATGAGGTAACAGATCCAGGCAAACGACGGGCCCTTCTCCTCAGCTCCAGCGTTGTGAACACTGTTCGTCTCGCGAAGAGTCTCCTAGCACCACAGGCAATTCTCAAGTGTTCTTACGAGGAAATCATTGACACCCTGATGAGGTACCTCACGCCCCGGCCCACAACACTCGCAAGGCGAAGCATGGTGAATCAGCCACTGCTTTCATGGCAGCCCTGCACCAGCTGGCTATGGACTGTGCCTTCACCAAGGTGGAGGAGAACCTCCTAACGCAATTCCCCTGGGGCATCAGTGACATAAAGCTGCGGAGGAAGATGATCGGTACCGCCAACATCAAGATCGACGAGGCCCTCCAACTCGCCATCGCACACGAGGCCTCCCACCGTGACCGTTCCTCGTCTGCGGCTCATCTTGTGCTCCCCAACTTTGCGCCCAAGAACTCCTACAAGGAGGACATCCGTCTCGTCCGTCTACCCTCTCGCTGTAAGCCATAGGGACCCGCAGCCTCGAGTGCAGGCTGGGCGGTTCTCCCCGCCTCCCCCCCATGGGCTTGTTGATCCTCCGGGAAAACCGTCGGCCGTTCCACATGCACCAGCTGCGGAGAGGCGCATGAGTGTAAGTCATGCCGGTTCCGCAACGCTACATGTCACACATGTGGAAAACAGGGTCACCTCGCCCGCGTCTGCTGGTCCAAGGGAACCTGGCCTGCAGCCCAGCCACGACACCAGGCCCCTGCAACCTATGAGACCGCCGCAGAAACCTCCGAACTTTGCCTCCTCACCGATCGACCATTCCTACAGGTACTACGCCTCCCCAACCTGTCTACTACCCCAAAGATCTAAGTCACGGTCTGGATCGAGGGGTTCCCCTGCCCTATGGAAGTAGACTCGGGATCGGCAACGTCCATCATTTCGGTGGACATGCTGCACAGACTTTGCCCTAACAGGGGACCCCACTTACGCTCCTCGCCTTTATGTTTGGTGGACTTTCAAAGGAACCCAGTCCCGATTTGGGGCATGGGAACCTTCCGAGTGCAGTACCAGGGTTTCGAGGGATTGCTGGACTTGATTGTGGTGGAGGGGAACCTTGTTAGTCTTTTGGAGTGGGCCTGGTTTGCGCTGTTGGGCATCACGATTGGGGGGGGGTTAATAAATGTGTACAGAGGGACTTTGTGGAGGTTTGCGAGGAGTTCCCTGCCATTTTTGGGATGTTATAAAGGGCCCCCGATTTCTTTGCAATTAGACCACACCATGGCCCCTATCCGCATGCGATTTCGCACAGCTCTGCTTTCACTCCGGCCCAAATTTGATGCAGAGCTCGACCGATTAGTGGCACAGGGGGTCATAGAGCCAGTATCACACACCATCTGGGAAACGTCTATTGTTACCCCTGTTAAGCCAAATGGCGATGTCCACATCTGTGTGGACTACAAATGTACACTTAATAAGACCCTCCACGATCACTCCTACCCAGTCCCGGTTGTAAGTCATGTCCTGGCTTCTCTGGCGGGGGCTAAGAGTTTCTGCAAAGTAGACTTAGCGCAGGCCTATCAACAGTTGCCGGTTGACGAGGCCACGGCCCAGATGATAGTCACACACAGGGGAGCTTTTAAGGTAAAGAGGCTACAGTTTGGCATGAGTGTAGCCCCTGGGATTTTCCAACAATTAATGGGCTGCTTGTTAAAAGGGATCCCTGGAGTGACGCCGTTTTTTGACGACGTCCTCATTGCTGCGGCATCCCCAGCTGACTTCGCATCCCGCCTCCGCACTGTCCTGCAACGCTTTGACTCGGCTGGCCTCAAAGTGAAACGGGAGAAATGTCTCCTCGGGGTTCCCGAAGTGGACTTTCTGGGTTTCCGGGTCGACGCAGCCGGCCTCCATCCAGCTAAGGACAAGGTGTAGGCCATCGTGGAGGCCCCCGCGCCCACTTGTAAAGCAGAGCTATAGGTGTTCTTGGGACTAATTAATTTCTACCATGCCTTTCTGCCACGCAAGGCCACAGTTGCAGAGCCCCTACACTGCCCCCTGGACAAGTCGGCTCCTTGGTCCTGGGGCCCAAAGGAAGCGGCGGCATTCAGGGTGGTTAAAGCGCTTTTAATTTCTATGAGAGCCATGATTCAGTCCCTCTGTCAGATCTTTGCTACGCACGGGCTACCGGACACGTTAGTCTCTGACAATGGGGCAGCCTTCACATCAGCGGAGTTCCAGGACTTTCTCCAGAGGAATCTGGTACGGCACATCCGATCTGCACCCTTCCACCCCGCGACCAACAGCCTGGCCGAGAGGATAGTCCGTACTGCGAAGGAAGCCCTCAGCAGGATAATGGATGGGGACTGGGAATTCCAGCTAGCCCGCTTCCTCTTGACCCACAGGACGACACGTAACCCTGTCACCGGCCACAGCCCAGCAGAACTATTGATGGGTTGGCGCCCCGCGACTTTGTTAGATCGGCTACACCCGGACCGGGCACCAGATGCAAAGAGGATGATAGAGCAGTGTGAGGCTCCGAGAGGGTTCTTTCTGGAGGACCCAGTGTTCATCCAAAACTACGGAACTGGAACCCCCTGGCTATCTGGAAGAGTTATCAAAGTCACAGGCTCAGTATCTTACGAGGTATCATCAGATGACGGCAGGCTCTTAAAGAAGCACATTGACCAACTGAGGCGGCAACAGCTTCCAGAGGCAGGAGAACCACCACCGTTGGCTGCAGGGAACAGCACCTACCCACCAGAGTCCAGGGTTCAGCCCGACCCCCCGAGCATCGAGGAAGCCACTCTGAGTGAACAACTGCCAGAACCAACAGAACCTGAGACACTCCAGCCATCACAACAGGCGCCCCAGCCCCAGGTCATAGCTAGTCAACCAGAACCCATAGCCAGTGACCCAGTACCAGCCCCCCGGCGTTCCCCAGCGCAGACCCCTGCCTATTTAAAGGATTATATCACATAGGTAGGGTCGGAACTATGGGGGGAGGGGTGTTATGTATGCGGACCGCCACCAGGGGTCCGCGGCTACAGTCAGGAGCTTAGCTCCTCTAAACAATAGGAACCTAGGATCCTAGTTCCCCCACCATTCACCAATAGCAACTTTGGCGGGAAATTCAAACCCTCCAGTGGGACTGTGGGTGTGCTGGGTGGGTGTGTATATAGTTGGCCTTTTGCAGTTCCAGTGTGAAGTACAATAAACGTGTGCAAATGCATGTCATTGTCCGAGTCCTCCATGCGGCGAACCCAGTACTTTACAGTGATGTTCTCCAGGAGCAGTCAGCTGGGAAGATGCTTGGAAGAGCTGCAGAGGAAACTGCAGTGTGGTAGAAGCCAGCAAGGGGGCAGCTCCTATTTCAGGCCAGCAGGCAAGCACATGTGAGCGACCTCCAGCGCCCCCTTTGCTGGCAGGCTGGCTAAGTGGGAGGGCGAGGCATCCTAGAAGAATCTCCCTGCGTTGAGGAGGAGAAGCTGTGTGTCCACTGGAAGAAATCCCTGCGTGATTGCGCACAAACGCACGCTACAGGGAACTGTGCCTCCCTCCTATATATCTATGGTACCCAGGGCAGCTTAGAAAACAAATATATTTTTAAATTGGGTTGGGAAGGCTTTCTTCAAGAAAATTCTACATATAACTGGAGTTCTAGGCTTTGTGATTCCAGAGACGTATTCATAGACACTGCTGCTCTTGCTCCTAAATTAGAGGGGGGAAATTTATCTGTGTGACATTGGTGTATCAATAATGTCTAATTGCAGGTCTCTGGGAAGCTTTATATAATGGGTTACAAGATTGAATCTTGAAGCGCTTTTGCAGGATAGTTTTCTTGGATAGAGCAAAAGTAATGAAAAACCATCTTCTAGTATTATATTGTGAGATGACTGGAGTCTTAAAAGTCATGCATGGATTCTCAAACGTCTTTAATGCCTATCATGAGAGGCTCTGTTGCCACTTAATGTCATTTCATGAACTTCCCTCCCCTGAAAAGTTATTTCTTTATGTATTTACTTGGACATTTCTATGCTGGTTTTCTCCCAAAGGGACCCAAAGCAGCTTACAGAAAATTCCAAAGTACAATTACCATCAATTTAAACAATAGAGCTTAGATAAAGAAAGCTAACAGATAAAACAGACATCCTGGGCTAGTCTTATCTGTGAGCCATTGACCAAGAGCATGTAACTCTAGCCACTCCCAAGCTAAGTACTTGCCAACAAAGGAGAAACAAAGCCCAGATGTTATTCAGCTGCTGCTTCCACACTTAGTCCCATGGTTAGCCTTTGGCTTCTAAGGACATGATAGAATAAATAAAAATTAGATACATTTAAAACACAACAGTAATACTTCAATTTATCACTCATAATGTTCTTCAGGAAAAGCAAGAAGAGAATGAACTACGTGCTCTTCCTCCCCCTTCACCTGCACAAGTAACTGCCCTGAGTTTTACATTGATGGAGGCAGCAAAGGAACAAGGCATATCTGATAATGATTTCCAAATCCGCCAAAAAATTGTATATGAGATGGAGAAGATAATTCAGCAGTCCTTACCAGGTAACAGTAAATTCATCAGTGTTCTTTGAGGCAAATAATTTTTTTTATCCTGTTCCCTCCCCAGTACAATTGGGCTCTTCATCCAGTGCAACTTGCATGTGTTCAACTGTGCACAAAATGCAGTTTTGGAAAACTATGAGATAGGATGATTTTAGCTCATTTTCCAGCATGCCTCATCTTTTTGTGTGAGATATTAATTGAAAATATGTTTCTTTGGACTCTTTTGTCTTGGTGGATGTAAAAGGTTCAATGATCTGGTTTTATTTTGAAACATTAGTTTGACTATAATCATTCCGGAATGTGAATTCCGATCTGGTCTTCCACACTTTCATAACTGTGCCTGAGTGATTTGTTTCAAGATACCAAAAATGTATTTTTTCCTTCAATAATAAGATGTTGTGCTTAAAGATAAAGGGAGTAAGAACTTTGTCCATATTGAGGAACGTATTAACAAGCATAGCACTGATTCACTTGTCGTTTGCAGGTCCCTTCCCGTTCAGGGCTACAACTGACAAGAATCCAGGATGTATTTTACGTTGTTTCTTTATACAATAATACAAGAAAGTTGCTTGCAGCATTTTGTTTATGGAAAAGCAGCTGTTTGTGAATAAAATCACTGTCATTCTAATTTCATTGTATATTGTGTACCCTGTTTCTTGTCATGACACTGGCAAATAGTGATGCTTAAGAGTACTGGTAGGAAAAAACACAAACTTAGTAGAATGATAAAATTTATCTGGCAAATGCTGAAAGTCAGTCATTTTCAGTCTTGTTATTAATACTTCTCTACTTTATATATAACAAATATCTTTCATGGATTTTACTTTGAAGTAGGAATTTTAAAGTTCTTTATTATGTGTTTTTCAAGGTATGTTGTCCTATAGTGGGTACTCGTTAAATGGACAATTGTGCATTCATCATACATGACTGTAATCCTAGGGTGCATGTGTTGTTGCTTGGAGTTCATGAATACAACTGAAATGTATTTTCTTGGGAGTAATCTCAAGAACATACAATGGCCCTATATCAAAAGCTATCACCATCCTACATGGTAATTACATCATGAAGGAACAAAGTACAGTAGGGCTTGTACCCTTGTCAGTTGTATATCAGAAATGGTCTGCAATGCTGGAGAATCATTTTTATATAGTTATATATTTTTCACTAACACATTGTTCACATCTTAATTTCTACTTTTTTAAAACCTTAAAATACCTTCTAACTGGAAGGTAAAATAATACAATTTGATGTATTCCAAAATTAGAATTTATTTCCTAGTACATTGACTTTTAAGACTGCAGTCATAGTAGCATCAGTTTTGAAAATGGTAATGAAAGCTGCATGTTAAGTTACAGAACCTTTTCTTTATTTCAGAGTGCTCATTGAGGATGTATGGGTCTTGTCTAACTAGATTTGCTTTTAAGACGAGTGATGTAAATATTGATATAAAATTTCCTTCCAAGGTAAGTAAAAAAAAGTAATATAAACTAATTACAAATCCTTTGTGTCTGGTGTCTCAGATTTCCCACTAGGTTTCTGTAACAGAAACAGTGTTCTTGACCTAGGAATACATTAAGCAAGGTCCACTAGAAGTGTTATTATGGTATAAAAAAAAGTTGACCAGCTGTGATATTTAGCTTCATCTCTAATTTCTAGAACTTGGGGGTAAACATTCAAAACTCCATCCTAATTCCAGTACACTTTCTTAAATCATAACATTTTAAATATTTGGAACATCAATTCCTTTTTTAAAAAGAATTTACATTGTACATAGCTGGAATATGGCTTTCTCATGGCCTAACTACATATTATACTATTTCCAGGATTGTCCCAGGTCCTGTCAAACCAGTCCTGTTTGAAACTTAAATCTCAGGTGCATTGGAGTCTAGTTTGGATTGGAAATGTGAGAAGAGGGAACTTAAGCCTCCTTGCACCATTTTCCCAACATGAAATGTCCCTGGATAGCCATGGCATTTCTGGTTGAAAACACTGCTTAAGCTCCCTTTGTCCACAGTATCAATCCAAATCAGGCCCCATGCACCTGAGAATTAAGTTTCAGCAAGGAGTTCTGAATGCACTTCTGCTTGGACAAGACCTAGACAGACCCAGGAACACCGTAATATATTATTAGGTCCTGTTAACAGGACCAAAACACACACACACACACAAGGTTGCATAATTACTTGAAGGTAAACTCTAGTGAAAATTGAAACTAATTGGGACTTACTACTGAGTAAACATCCTTTTGGTTGGGGTGTTCATTCAATAAGAGTGTGAAATAACAGTGGTAAGGGAAGAGGACAATCCCAAGAAAGCAGTTGGAACAGGACTTGCAGGTCTGCCAAAGTCCAGAAGAGGTTTTATGGAACAAAGAAGACTTCTGAGTGACAGTTTGTCTAATAATTATAGGCTCTATCCACTTTTTCTGAATGACTCTAGCCAGATCTAGTTTGGATATAGGCATGCACTTAAGAAGTCATAGGTTAGTTTTCTTAGATCATTAATCAGTTAACTTTCTTAGATCATTAATCTCCTGGCAACAGGTATACCTCAGCATTTTAAATTCATTTTAGTATAGCACACAAGTAAACTCTAGTGTTAGAGAATCTTTGCATCAATCTTATGTTTTTATTACAACATAATTATTTACACTTCTAACATTGGGTGACTTGAAAGAATATAATACTATCTGTTGATTTTATATAGATTGTTAAAGGAGAGCAGTTATTTGAGCCCAGTCTTTCTTACCAAAGATAGACAGGTTTCACAAGGTAAGGAGCCCCTCTGTAGAAGGAGCTGGTGATCAGTTTAGACTCCCATATTTACAGGTTTTCAGAATCACCTTCTAACAATAGCTAGGGCTCATGTTGTTAGGTAACTAATTTCTTCTAAATTTACACACCATATAAAGTTATCTGTGCTTATGCAGCTTCTAAAATTATATAGAAAGCAGTGATAGTTCTTTCTTTTAATCATAACCAAGAATATCTCTTCTGTATTTAGCTGAACATTTCCTGTTTCTGAGATGCTTCTCCCACCTGGGAGGGCGGGGTACAAATGTGATTAATAAATAAATATAAATAAATTTAGTCAAGACCAGCAACTGCTCCCCTATATTTCTGGCTATATCCATGATGCAATGCTTGTGTGTTGTTTTTATGCCCCTTCCTTGTCTTCAGTGGCTTGTTTTAATATTAATAATTCTTATGTTGTTATTTTTATTATTTTGTAGTATTCTGAACTATCTCAGCCAGGTCACTGGAGAGGCAGCATATAAAAATCTCTAAATAAACAAATAAGCTATCTGCAATTTGTACGCCATGCTTACCACACCTGATGCAAGGGAAGAAAACCACAGGGTGTGGGGTACAGCCCTATCATGTCTTATTCTGGGTATTTCTGGAAGGGGCCAGGTTAACAGGCACCAAGTAGCTGCCCCCTAATCCAGCAATCTGGGTGCAGCTGCAGGACACAAGAATTTATCTTGCCTGTCTACCTAGCCCATTCCAGCTCCTTTAAAGTCTCGAGATAAGACATGGTAAGGTGCAGACACGTCAATAATGGCTGCAGGACCCCTTCTGCCATGGGATAAGCTGTACCCAAGCCAGACTGCAGTGAGTCCATATGAGGGCACCAAGCAGGTGTGCTCAGGCTGACCCCAGTTGGATACCGTGAATGTATGGGCCTCTCATTTCAGTACCATAGTTGTCTTTGCAGGTACATGCCCAGTACAGCTGTGCCATAGTGTGCTGGGGCTTCATGTGTTCATACATCTGGGAAATTGGCTTCAGGTTCCAGAAGCAAATAACTTGGGGCCTGTTTGCACATGTAGAGGCCCTGTAGCCTGCCTTTTACACAAGCAAACAGAGGCCTGGATTGTACCCTATGACTTTTAAAAATATGATTGTCATGTTAATTTTCACAGTTCAAAATGAGAGTAAGATATCTTTGTTATTATTTTAGATGAGTTATCCAGATGTTTTGATACAGGTGCTTGATATTTTAAAAAACAGCGGTAAGTTTATTCTTTATTTTTACTCACTTTCTTCATTGTTTGATGTTGGCAGTAGAAAGGAGAGCTGATAGATGGCATAATACAATTCTAACCTATTATATTACCCAGATAAATTTAAATGTCAAAAAATTGAGAGATCTGTAGAAGGCTCTTCTATTTCCTGATATACTCTTCTTTTTTGCCCTCCTCCAGCTTCTTACTCTGATGTGGAATCAGATTTCCATGCCAAAGTTCCTGTTGTTTTTTGTAAAGATGTTAAAAGGTTTGTGTAATTTGTGTTATTTGATTGTGTTAAATGAACTTAGCTTAAACGAACTAAATTTAAATTTAGTATTTTATAATCATTTGTGAATTGCAGAATGCAGTTCTTTGAGGAAAAAGCTCTAAAGCAAGGCCTCAGATGGTGAAGGAGTAAATGTTGTCACAAATGCCTTACAATCGGCAAAAGGCATAGCGTGGCCAAAGTGAAGCAATGTTAAATCCCATTTGTTTCAGTGGGAGAAATTTAAGCATATTCTTAATCATTCAGTGAAATCACTACAACTTAAAAGTGCTCAATATTTTGGCTGGATTGTGCCCAAGTAAAAAAAACACACCAGGTTATGGTGGTATCCACATGGAAACAGGCTTGTGTGGTTTACCTGTTGCTGGTGTGACTGCTGATACAGTTAAGTGGTAGCAGGGTCTCCACATGGCAGGATTTCCTGCAATTTCCCTGCCCCAGCAAACACCATCTCCACTCCCCCCCCCCCCCCCCGTGGGGCTTTTTCAGTGTTTTTTTTTAAATCAGCTATTTTATATTGTTATATTGACATACCATTTCAGTTCAGTTTAATTTATTGTAGTTAGCCATTGACTGTTACAAGGTTACAAAACTCTTGGCAATAAAAATACAGATTATGAACAAGCTATAGGCTAATATCAGTATATACAGAAATACTGAAAATCAGTAGCAAAATGTGTCTAATTTAATACAATAACCTAACAATGCCCCTTGCTGTTGCCACCTTGGACATACCATTATATCAGTAAGTGCAACAAGTTCTCCGAATTCTCAGCTTTCATTTTTTAAAAAGTGTCTAACCCTTTCCCTTGCAATGATATGTCTTTTCCCTCAAGGGCTAGAGACTTTAAAAAAAAAGAAAGAAAGAAAGCTAGGAATTTACAGGACTTGTTCACTTATTGTTATAATGATATATTAGTATAATAATATGAAATCATTGATTTTTTTTTTTAAAGGCCTCCTGATGTATATAGTTCTGTGTGTGTGGAAAAAATCCACTTCCCAGTAGCACTGAATCTGGGCAGACAACCTGTGTGGAAGTGGACTCAGTATCTGGGGTGAAGGGAATCTAATGTGAAAAGAAATCATATAGGCAAACCATAAAAAACAAAGAAGGCTACTTTTATATGGCAAGAATTGTGTGTTTTGGTTTGTTAGTAAATTTTATTCACTAGTGTACAATCATATGATTTATAACTTTTCTTACAATTTCTTTCAATGTCAGTGGTTTAACTTGTAAAGTAAGTGCTGGAAATGATGTGGCCTGCCTTACAACTGACCTGCTGGCTGCACTCGGCAAACTAGAGCCAGTCCTTGTTCCTTTGGTGTTGGCTTTTCGCTACTGGGCTAGAGTAAGTTTATGAAATAGATGCATTTGTTTGTTGCATGTGTACTTAATATGTAAATATAATTAAAAGTATTGCACTTAGGTGACTGGTCATAGTATTGGCAGTATAGTGTGCATATATATATCTATGTATAGCTATATAGATATATATAGATATATATCTGTTACAGTTATGCATTTGTCTTATTGGATCAGATAACATCCAGATGGCTGACTATAGAGCTGCTGCTGCAAGTGAAGCATGTGCCTGTGTGTTGAGGCTTCTGTGCCTCCTTTTCCCATTGAATATACTTGCACCAACTGAACAAATACTCCAGATAGAGGACATTTCATAGCAGTCCTCAGTACAGTTTAAGGACCTTCATTTGTAAGTCAATATCAGAAAAGGTTCACTGTATGTTCTGAAACACTTGTGCACACAAGCATTTTTCTTAATGAAATTATTTTGAGTTTAAATCTACTCATACAACAAACAGGTTAGTATAGAAAAAAGAAAATTACTGTACTAAAGTCACAAAAGAGGACCTAGAGCAGTGGTTCTTAACTCAGTACTACCCACCAAGGACTCAGCATTGTAACTGAATGCCTTCCAAGCCACAAGTAAAAATATAGAACATAAATACAGAACTCTTGAAAAAGCAACTTTATCTATGTAGATACATACATTCAGTAAGAGCCTTGTTGCCTAATGGTCATCAGACAGCTCCTTACTGTTAGGTTTAATTTCCGTTTGCTGTGTGTCACTTTTTAAAAGCCTGTGGTAGAAATCTGGGATTTTAGTCCCAGAGTGGGAACAGCAGAATAAAACAACTTTCCTCTGCTGGCTGTCAGAAGGCATTGCAAAGAGGAAGAAGGAACCGCCTAAAATCCTCAGTACCCAGTATTTTCTTCCCAAAATTCTGAATGTTGCCCAAGATTTGTAGATTGCCCCCTTTAAGAATCTCTGAACTAAAGATTCCCAAGCAGCCATAAGAATGGACAGAAGGAAGGGATAAATACGGAAAAATGAAACCCCTTGATTCATTCTTTCATCACTTGTCCCTTTAGTCTGCAGTGTTAAACATTTTAACTACAAAATATTTTTTCTTAGCCACTGACCCTGCACTAGAGGCTGGGGCTTGATGTTGCTGGCATGTGGCCAGGCAGTAGTGCAGGTCAGGGCTTGGCTTGGACCAGGCCACCAGCAGTACTGGCTTAGAAGGCATCAGGTGTATGTCACCCTCAATACCTCACATACTGCTGGTGATTGGGAGTGATCTGAGCCCTCAGGAATGAAAGGGGCTTCAGGGTAAAGGATGGAATGTGACAGGTCTGCCCTCTCTTTTAGTTTTATTGGCACTGAGAGGAGGAAGAGGGGTGCTGAGTCAGTCAGCTCAGAAGTTTAAGCCTCACAACCCACCTTCTAGAAAGCCATAACCTATTTTTATGTTGTGACTCCCAGTTTGAGAACCATTGATCATCACTGTTCCACTTGTTATACTCTTTTTTTCCCTAGTGCTCTGTATCAGGTTGACTTGTAGTCATTGGTGACTTCGTTATTCAGATACTTTCAGATTATACAGGCCTTTGTTCTGTGACTGAAAAATGTTGGCTAAAGTGAAAGGTTATAATTTCTGCATGTTTCTTCTTGTTTCTTTCTTTTTTTAAAATAGAACTTCATTGCAGTTTTTTGACCTGTCTTCTTCCTCTTTATAGTTGTGCCATATTGATTGTCAGGCTGAAGGTGGAATCCCCTCATATTCCTTTGCCTTAATGGTGATATTTTTCCTTCAACAAAGAGAACCACGTATATTACCATCATATTTAGGCAATTGGGTAAGTTAAAAATATATAAAGCTCTGGATCCAAACAGCTGTAAGTTAGTTCAGGTAGAGCCAAGAAAGGCTTAGATGTGTTTCTTGAACAGTAGCTTTCCATGACACACAGCAAATCTCTTTGGAAACTAAGGGCAGATTCATAAGCTGTTTATGGCATGGTGGTTTTACATTCAAAGGAGAAAGTCCATTCATCTTAGCAATGTCGGAAATAGCTCTTTGGGTATTGGCCATTCTTGTTATTAAAATGTTATTGACATCTAACAGTTTTATAGTCCTGGAGAATTCCATCAATATCCAGACAAATGGTTTATACATAATAGCAGTGCTACTTAATCATGGAGTTTATGTCTAAGAACAGTTTTTTATTTAAAATGAATACCCCACTGAGCCAGTGTTTGTTTCTCGCGCATGAACTGGTTCTCTGGATGCCTTGTTTGGATTTAGATTGAAGGCTTCGATTCTAAGAAGGCTGATGATTACCAGCTAAAGGGCATTGAAGATGAAAAGTTTGTGGTGTGGGAATACAAACCATCACATAATGGAGCAGGGAAAAATGGAACAGGTTTGGAAGGCAAAGCTAAAGGTGACCAGCAAAAAGGTGGTAACAAGAAAGCAGCAACTGTAGAAACAGTCACCCAGAGTCAGCCAAAGGAGAAAAATGGCAAGGTACGTAATTTTCTTTGAATGTAGATTGACCGAACTGATGTAGGATTTTAACAAGTTCCTTACAAGAATCCCTGGGTTCATATAGAGCCTCTGAATGTAAATTTATCTTTTCTATTTAGCATTCTTCTTGGAATTGTAAATTTTTAAGATCAAAGAACCAGAAATTTAAGTTTTCCTTTTTCTTCTTCTTTCAGTCTTCATTAGCTTTGGAAACACCACACCAGATATCTCTAGGACAACTGTGGTTAGAATTATTGAAGTTTTATACACTGGAATTTGCTTTGGAAGAATATGTTATCAGCATACGGGTACAAGAACTTTTAACCAGAGAGAACAAAAATTGGCCTAAAAGGCGAATAGCCATTGAAGGTGGGGTGTACGACACTTAAAATAGAATTAGGGAACTCTTATATTTGCCTTACTTGCCTAACTTTGTGTAAATAAAGTGTCTTATATTGTATTAGAAATTTAGAAATTATGGAGGAGATTGTATGTTTCAGCCTTGCAAGTAATGTTCATGTGCCCATGACGATTTGAAAGTATTAACAAGTTTATTTTTAACATTTCTTTAGTAGAATATATCATATTGCTAGATAATCATGGCTCAAGCAGCTGGTTTCACATTTTAAGCAATGGCTTATTATCAAAGCGAGAAATGTACTTTTACATTTTCTTATTACTGTTTTTCCCAAAAGGATGTTGTGGGAATAGCATTGTGGTTTGACTGAATTAATATCCTGTTAAAATCAGGTACTGCAGTATTTCCTTGTCTCTAACAGTCCGAACAAACAGCAGATAAAGTAAGGAGATACTGACTGGTTTGGGAAGCATAGCCCTGCTCTTTGTGTCTTTATTCTATGTTATTATTCAACCTTGTAATAAGAATAATCATACTCAAGGGAAGATGCTTTCTTGCATAACAATTTGTATTATTTGAAATACAATATGTTAATATTGTGCTTAGTCCTAACTAAGAACTAATTGGTCTTTTTTCTAGATCCTTTTGCACTAAAAAGAAATGTTGCACGGAGCCTGAATAGCCAGATGGTGTTTGAGTACATCCTGGAGAGGTTCAGGACAGCATATAAGTATTTTGCATGTCCACAGAATAAGGATGGAATTAAGTCCAAACCTGATACCAAGAAAAAAGAAAAGGGAAACATTGGTAGCAAAAAAACTGGAGAACTTGTAACCAATTGTTGCCTTCAGCAGCAGGCAAACATTGCGGAGAAACAGAACACAGATAATGGGTGCATTGTACAAGCATGTGAGTTTAATGAATGTAGTGAAATGGAACCTACGTCCAGGAGACGTACTTCCAACAAATTGGATAGTTTGCTGGTAAAGAAACCTGAAGTTTTAAATACAAAATCTGAAGACCAAGAAGAAACTGTATCCCTTATAACTAGTGAATGCTGTGAATTAGAACAAAAATCACTCAACACAAAAGATGATAAAGAGCCTTCAGTTGAAGAGGAGCTAAGCCACCATTGCATTTTTAGTGAACATGTGTCCCAAGACACAGATTCTTTTGATGAACTATCTGACACTAAAAGTAGACAGAATTCAGAAATGGAACATTCACAAAAGAATATGTGCTCAGGCACTACCGCATCAACTACCTCGCACAACTACCAAGCAGCAGGAGAAGTTCAAAATACTAAAGATGACGTTTCCACAGAAGATATGCATTATGTATTTGATAAAGTTATTCTGACTTCTGGAAAGGTAATTTATGCACAAAACCTTATTGTATGATTCTTGTTACAGAAGTTCAGGTACTATATGTTTTTGTCATTCAGCTGGTAGGATAGCTGGAAAGATAACTTCTTTGATCAAAAGGCAAGTCTAGCAAACTTGACATCTTAACATAAAGGAGATCCTTCCCAGTTTTATTTTATTTGCTTCATGTATAGTCCACTTTTTGCCCTGAGAAATGCTGTGCCTTCAATCAGAGAGCAGGCTTGTATAGCTCCTAAGCTTTCTGTTAGAAGCACAGCCAGTCTCAGTCTGTCCTTCTCCTTTCTAAGATAGTCTGTGTACTTCAGCTAGGGGTGACCACTCCAACGGACTTTCACAGCTATTATTTGGCACTTTTATCTTTGGCCATAACACATCTTATTGATTCTAATACTTCCAGACTTTTGTGTCTCCTGCTCAAACCCTGAGCTTTCATTATAAATGTAGATGATTGTGTCCCTATAATTGCTTTTGTTCTGTCTTCACTGTCTCCTCATCCTGCCTCCTCATCCTCTTCTCTAGGGATCCATAAGTTCTCAGGGCTTCCCCATCTCTCTGGTCCTCCCCTGCCCACACACCTTAACTGACTCTCAGCTGCTCTCTACATTCTGTGTCAGCTAGAGGATTCTTAGTCCTCATGCTCCAGTGGCTCTTATCTTTTGTTTAATTACAAAGCCATATTTTTGTACATATAGAGAGTTAATGAACTGCATCAAAATCCCTACCTAGTCTGGTTTTGCTGTTTTCACTATTAGTATCAGCCACTCACTTTACTAGTAAGTAAATAGTAAGTAATGAGAATGATAGGTGCTGCGGTGGCTCAAGTGGTTAAGACGCTGAACTGCAGGCTGTGGAAGGTCAGTAGTTCAGCAGTTCAAGACCCGGGTTGCCGCATGACGGAGTGAGCTCCCGTCTCTGGCCCCAGCTCCTGCCAACCTAGCAGTTCGAAAGCAAGAAATTGCAAGTAGATAAATAGGTACCACTTCGGTGGGAAGGTAACAGCGTTCCGTGCGCCTTGGTGTTTAGTCATGCCGGCCACATGACCACGGAAACGTCTTCGGACAGCGCTGGCTCTTCGGCTTTGAAACGGAGATGAGCACCGCAACCCTAGAGTCGGATTCGACTGGCTTTCGAGCAAGGGAACCTTTACCTTTACCTTTTAATGAGAATGATAGCTTAGTAATTAAGGCATAAGTATAAATTTGAGTGAAGCTCAGATGCTGTTTTCTGTGAAATTATTGTTCAGTAAAGAACAACAACTCAGCTTGTATAAATTATGCATAATCAAATCTCTCCATGGATGTTCCTCATTCTCCTCCTCACCTTTTCTGTGCATCTTGTGTGCTTTGGATTTGTATCACTTGAGTTGAAGTTTGTCATGGCAGGAGATACAGGGTTAATTACAGCTCCAAGTGGAGACTGCATTGGTTACATACAGTATACAGCAGGCCTCGGATCGGGCCGGAGTGCACCGGTACGTCGCTCCGGGAGAGAGGCAGGGGGGGCGGTCACATGGCGAAGCCCCGCCCCTTTTTCCAGCCGCCCTCTGCTTCCAGCCTCATTCTTTTCCAGAACAAGGAAGAAGCAGGAGGGTAAGTCGGCTCCCCCCCATCTTTTCCTGGCCGAGGCTGCTCTAGCAGCCTCTGTTAGGCCTCCAGGGCCAACCCAGACCTTCCCAGAGGTGCGCGAAGCCACACACCCCAGGAAAAATCTCCCCCCCCCCGCCTGGCTGAGGCTGTTCTCGGCGGCACTTGCGATGCCCGCGGGGGGGGGGGAACATAAGAACATAAGAACATAAGAGATGCCAATGTTGGATCAGGCCAAAGGCCCATCCAGTCCAACACTCTGTATCCCACAGTGGCCAGAAATACCAGTGCCATCAGGAGGTCCACCAGTGGGGCCAGGACATTAGAAGCCCTCCCACTGTTGACCCCCCCCAAGCACCAAGATGACAGAGCATCACTTGCCCCAGAGTCCCTATCTATACCTTGTGGCTAATAGCCACTGATGGACCTCTGCTCCATATGCTTATCTAATTCCCTTTTGAAGCCGTCCATGCTTGTAGCTGCCACCACTTCCTGTGGCAGTGAATTCCAAGTGTTAATCACTCTTTGGGTGAAGAAGTACTTCCTTTTATCCGTTCTAACCCGACCGCTCAGCAATTTCATGGAGTGCCCACGGGTTCTTGTATTGTGAGAAAGGGAGAAAAGTACCTCTTTCTCTACCTGCTCTTTCCCATGCATAATCTTATAAACCTCAATCATGTCACCCCTCAGTCGTCGTTTCTCCAAGCTAAAGAGCCCTAAGCGCCTTAACCGTTCCTCATAGGGAAAGTGTTCCAACCCTTTTATCATTCGAGTTGCTCTTTTCTGCACTTTTTCCAAAGCTATAATATCCTTTTTAAGGTGTGGTGACCAGAATTGCACACAGTATTCCAGATGAGGTCGCACCATTGATTTATATAGCGGCATTATGATATTGGCTGATCTGTTTACAATACCCTTCCTAATAATCCCCAGCATAGCATTGGCCTTCTTTATTGCAGTCACACACTGTCTCGACATTTTCAGTGAGTTATCTACTACAACTCCAAGATCTCTCTCTTGATCTGTCTCTGCCAGTTCAGACCCCATCAACGTGTATTTATAGTTAGGATTTTTGGCTCCAATGTGCATCACCTTGCACTTGGCCACATTGAACCCCATTTGCCATGTTGACGCCCACTCGCCCAACTTTGACAGATCCCTTTGGAGTGCCTCACAATCCTCACTGGTTTTCACCACCCTGAACAACTTCGTATCATCCGCAAATTTAGCCACTTCACTGCTTACTCCCAACTCCAAATCATTAATGAACAAGTTAAAAAGCAGTGGACCAAGTACTGATCCCTGTGGTACCCCACTGCTTACACCCCTCCACTGGGAGAACTGCCCATTTATACTCACTCTCTGTTTTCTATTAATTAGCCAGTTTTTGATCCATAAAAGGACTTGTCCTTTTATCCCATGATTTTTGAGCTTGCTTAGGAGCCTTTGATGAGGAACTTTATCAAAAGCTTTCTGGAAGTCAAGGTAAACAATATCTATTGGATCCCCCTTGTCCACATGTTTGTTCACCCCCTCAAAGAACATTAACAGGTTAGTGAGACAAGATCTTCCCTTACAGAACCCATGTTGAGTCTGCCTCAATAGGTTTTGTTCATCTATGTGCCTACTAATTCTTTCCTTAATAATGGTTTCCACCAATTTACCCGGTATCGACGTCAGACTGACTGGCCTGTAATTTCCCGGATCTCCTCTGGAACCCTTTTTAAAGATGGGAGTGACATTAGCTACCTTCCAGTCCTCAGGAATGGAGGCTGATTTTAAGGAGAGATTACATATTTTTGTCAGGAGATCCACAAGTTCACAATTGAGTTCTTTCAGAACTCTTGGATGTATGCCATCTGGGCCTGGTGATTTATCAGTTTTTAAGTTGTTTATCAGTTTTAGGACCTCCTCTCTCGTCACCTCAATCTGACTCAGGTCTTTCAACACCCCTCCCGAACTCAGCGGCTCTGGAGTGGGCAAGCACCTCTCATCTTCCACAGTGAAGACGGAGGCAAAAAATGCATTTAGCTTCTCAGCCATTTCCCTATCATCCTTCAGTACTCCTTTTACCCCTTGGTCATCCAAGGGCCCCACTGCCTCCCTGGCTGGTTTCCTGTTTCTAATGTATTTGAAGAAAGTTTTATTGTTGGTCTTTACATTTTTTGCTATATGCTCCTCATATTCCCTTTTTGCATGCCTGACCACAGACTTGCATTTTATTTGCCATAGCCTGTGTTCTGTTTTATCAGCCTCACTGTGACTAGCTTTCCACCGCTTAAAGGAATCCTTTTTACCTTTTACAGCTTCCATTACTTTGTTTGTTAACCATGTAGGCTTTTTCTTATACCTGTTTGTGCCTTTCCTAACCTGCGGAATATATTTTATTTGAGCTTCTAGAATTGTAGTTTTAAACAGTTTCCAAGCTTCCCCAATGGTTTTGACCCTTTCTACTTTTCCCTTCAGTTTCCTCCCCACATGTCCCCTCATATCAGAAAAATTACCCCTTTTAAAGTTAAAAGTGGTTGTGTGAGTCTTTTTGGCCAATTCCCTATTTGTACAAATGTTGAACTCAACAACATTATGATCACTGTTCCCAAGCGGTGCAATCACTTTTACATCTCTCACCAGGTCTTGAGTGTTACTTAGGACCAAATCAAGGATCGCCTCTCCCCTGGTAGGTTCCATGACCATCTGCTCCATAGCACAGTCATTTAGAGTGTCTAGAAACTCAATCTCTTTCTCTCGACTAGAACACATATTGACCCAATCAATGTGTGGGTAGTTAAAATCACCTATTACGACACAGTGTTTTTGTCTAGCTGCTATCTTTAATTCATTCATCATTTTATAATCCTCCTCTATCTTTTGATCCGGTGGGCGATAACAAACTCCCAGTGTTAAGTTTCCTTTTGGCCCCCCTATTTCAACCCACAGAACTTCAAGAAGCGAATCCAATTCTCTTAGCCTCTCGATCTTTCTGGACTTTATACCCTCTCTGACATACAGAGCCACCCCACCTCCAACCCTTCCCCCCCTATCCTTCCGATATAATATATAACCGGGAATCACCGTATCCCACTGATTTTCCTCATCCCACCAAGTTTCTGAAATACCCACAATGTCTATTTTTCCCTCTGACACCAAGCACTCCAACTCCCCGATTTTACCTCGGACACTTCGAGCATTTGTATAGAAACAGCTGTAATTTCCCATACTGGTTAAGCCTGCCACCTTCCTCTTGCAATCTCGAGACCTTGTCAGGCAGTCCATGTCACTAGCCATGGTCTCAGTGGACAATTTCAATCCACCTCCCTGTAGAAAAGCAACAGGTACCCCCTCATCTCTCTGAGATGAGCCAACCCGAACCAGAGACTTTTCATCTCCTGTCGGCTTTCCCCCAATATTCCTGCAGCCTGCCCAGTAATCTATTCAGAACTATCAGATCTGCTGTGCTCTTCTAATCTTTCTGTTGTAACATCTAGCCTAGAAATGCTGCACAGAAGTTGATCCTACTTAAACTGTTACACAGACAAATCTATCCTTTGATTGTGGTGCCAGAAATAAAGAGGCAATATCAGTCAGCTATTTCATAGCTTCTGCATATCTGGGTACCAAATGTTTGATTTGTTGCTGCTGTCATTGATATCGGGAAAGCAGATCTGCAGTTGTCTTAGGCCAGAAGCTCAGAGCTAGATTTTATTTAAAGGAGACTTCTGGCTTTTACTGCAAAGAACAGTCCCTTGTCTCTTCCTCTGTCTCTCTGTCTATCTGTGCACATTGATAACCCTGCTTTTCTTCCAAATGGGGACCCCTCCAGAAGGCTTATGTCAGGGGGTGTGGCCTTCTGACATACTTCCGGTGATGTCAGGAGGTGTGGCCTTATGACACACTTCCGGTGATGTCAGGGGGTGTGGCCTTATGACACACTTCCGGTGATGTCAGGGGTGTGGCACATGCTAATGAGTTATGCTAATGAGCTCCTGCAGCTCTTTTTCTACAAAAAGACCCCTGGTGTGCTTCTCCTCCCAATTTCTTATGTAAAAGCAGGCTTGAAAGATGAGTGACTTTTCAAAGCTGCTCAGTAAGTTGAGTTGATAGTTGAACCCATTTACTACTGAAACACTTAAACAGTTTTAAAATAAATCACTTTGTTTTGATTTTTTCATAGCCTCCAACAATAGTATGCAGTATCTGCAAAAGGGATGGCCATTCCAAAAATGACTGCCCAGAGGATTTTAAGAAAATTGATCTGAAACCTCTACCACCAATGACAAGTAGATTTAGGGAAATACTTGATCTAGTCTGTAAAAGATGCTTTGGTAAGTATGGTTTTGCTGCTGGCCAAATTTTGCATTCTATTTTAAAATTTAATGGTATTTACTTATAGCTTAAAGGTTTCCCATACTGAACGCAATGGGAGAAAGTTACTTTGATGAGACAGACAGAAGAATATATTCCCATTCTAGTTCACAGTAAGACCACCTGGGCAGTGGGTATAGTCCAAGGTGATGAGAAAAGTGGTTTTGGTAATCAAGGATTCTGGATTCTGTAGCACGTATTCAAAGCCTTAAAACGTTGTCCTCAAGAGCAGGAGTCCCAACGTGGCACCATTGCTGCCATGGTGCTTGCTGACACCTTTTCTGGTGTCAGCCAAGGGTTTTTAGAAAGTGGGTGGGGCAAAGTCAAATGATGTTATCTTGTGGTTGGATGATAACAAATGATGTGTTAATGATATAATGAAATTTGTAAGAAGGGGGAGAAGCATTGCGGGAAGCCACTGGAGGGAGGGGAGGAAGGGAATGAGGTAAACAATGGACTGAATGATTTAATCTTATATGTTATGTTCCTAAGAAAATAAAAATTTGTTTACCAAAAAAAAAAAAGAAAGTGGGTGGGGCTTCTGCCCAGCCAGACTTCAGATTGGCCATTGCAGGTCTGATTGGTCGTGCAGACTCAAAAGCACATAGATTTGGCAGCAATTGCCACCAGAGCTCAAGGATCTTTATTGCATGACTGAGCGTAAACTGTATGTAAGTAATAAACTACTTTTAAACAGTATGTTCATTTTAAAAGGCATACTGTTAAGCAGAGAGTTTTCCTGAAATGCTCAAGAGTTACTGTTAGCTTTATGCATAACCAATGCCTGAAATTTTGTGTTTGGCTCCACCTTCTGCTGCAGCCATTCTTTGGTTGCACCCACCACCCTGTGCCAGAATTCCAAAGGTGCCCATAAAGGTTCATAAAGGTTGGACACACATGCGTGAGAGTTTTGTCAGATATTTAAAGAGAATTTGTAAAATAAATGTAAAATGTTATTGCTAGAATGCTCTGGGGAAGTCCTAGGAATTAATAAAAGTGATCAGTGAGAGCTGTGTTAAAATAGATGTATTTGATGATTATATTGTTAAAAGTCTTAAATTTTTCTTTCTTTAGATGAATTGTCACCTCCTTTCTCAGAACAACAAAACAGAGAACAGATTCTGGCAAGTTTGGAAAGGTTTATTCGAAAAGAGTACAATGGTGTGTAATAGAAAGTATATTTGGTTTTCTTTAAAGATGTTGTATGTGTGTATGTATATTTAATAAGATATACTGTTCTAAAAGTTTGCAGCTGTATATCCTATGCTTTACAGCTCTATTTGATATTTGTTTAAAATACTTGATATCCTGTGTATTGTGGCACTCAAGGTAGATCATAGCGAAACATTACATTAGAGCTATACAGTATATTACTTTATATGCTCATATTAAAATATATAATTTTAGAACATTAGTACAGTTCTTATTGTTTTTTTGCCGCCAAGTCACAGCTGACTTATGGCAATCCCTGGTAGGGTGTTCAAGGCAAGAGACATTCAGAGGTGGTTTGCCATTGTCTGCCTCTGTGTTATGACCCTGGTATTCCTTGGTGGTCTCCCATCCTAATGCTGACCCTGCTTAACTTCCAGTATCTGATGAGATCAGGCTAGTCTGGGCTGTCTAGATCAGGGTTATCAGTACAGATGGTCTCATCTAAAAACACAATCATAGAAATGGGGACCTGTGAGAAGGTAACGGGAAAATTCACCTCTTGCTTCTGCCACCCCAGCCACCTTTCTCTGTCCCCTCCTCCCATAGCCTCCACCTCCCATCTTTTTCCTTTAACACGCTATTTCTTCCCCCTCTTACCCCAACACTGGTCCCCACCTTCCCCTTGCCCTCCTGAGGCCCCTCTTTCTTCTGTCTGCCTTCCCTGCCACCACCTCCTGGCCACTAGGACAAAAGAAGCTGGCAGCTGGAGGAGGTGGGCACTGCATACTGACCATGTTTGTGCTCACAGTGTGTGGGGGGGGGTTTAGAAGCTGCTGTTGTTGCTCCCCACTTTTCCCCTGCTTGCTCACCTTCTTTGCCTGGCAGGGGCTAGAGCAACAGGTGGGGAAGGGAGGACAGAGAAAGGAGCATTGCCATAGCTCGCCTTCTCTCCAGTGTGGGGAAGAATAGAAGCCACAGCAGTGTTGCTGCTTCCAGCTGGAAGTCCCCTCCCCATTGATAGAGAAAGTCACACTGGCCTTTGTTTTCCTTATCTTCTGTGTGTGTGTAGGGATAAAGGCAGCTGCAGTTCTTCCATTTCCTCCTAGCCAGTGCTGCTTACTTCCTCCAGTCCCATCCCAAACACTGCAAGCATTAAGTCCCAATTATCCCTTGCTGCCACCTTCTTTTCCTCCCAGCTGTGTTCCCCCACCACTTCCAATGAATCTTGGAGGGTGCTAGGCAACCCCTAAGATGGCAGTTGTGATTTCTTGGTGGACCGTTGTGAGATCTTGCTAATCTTTTATTTTTTAAGGATTTTTAAATCCTCGCTGTAAAAAAAAAGTTCAGATTTTTCTGCAAACTGGGGGGTTGTCCCAGGTCTTTAGAAAGATCTGTCTTGTCTGTACATGGCCCTGATCTTCAGATCTAAATACCTGCAGGTGGGACCATGTTGACTATTGGATATATTGATTAAGTCCTGAAATATTGCTTCGTATATGTATGTATCCAAAGATCTCGTTCTGCCCTCTGCTTTTTTTGCTGATTCTCCTTTCCCACAGCAGACCCTCTTTTCATCCTCCACGCATGTTCCTCTTGATGACTCCCTGCCCTCCATGAGGAGCATTTGTGGAGGTCATTGGGGTGCAGCATGAGGGGGAGCTTTGCTGATGGCACCCAGTGTCTCCAGTAGCAGGAACACTATTGAACACACTCTGGCAGACAATTATCTTCAAGCTGAAGTGATTTTCAGCTGATGAATGCCAAAGAATATCTAGCTTGGAATAGCTCATTTCGGTAGGCACAGAAAAACTAATGTGAAAAATTAAGAGGAGTGAGAAACCCATTGGTTGATTATTAACTGCAACCACAGTATAGTTGTTAGAACGTTGGCTTAGGATCTGGGAGACCAGTGTTTGCATCCCCACTCTGCCATGGAGGCTTGCTGAGTTACTTTGGGCCTGTCACACACTCTCAGCCTAACTTACCTCACAGGGTTGTTCTGAGGAGAAAATGGACAAAGGGAGAATATTATAAGCTGCTTTGAGTACCCATTGGGGAGAAAGGTTGAGAGGTTGGGTTATAAATGATGTAAATAAAGTAAATAAATTAAAACAGGAGGTAGGATTTGTGTATTTTGTGTCTTGGAAAAACAATCATAATGATTGTATTTCATACACAAACTCCTGAAGCTTATTGTACTATGGTAAACATGTGTCTCTTTCACAGGTACATTTTGTAAAAGTATCAGTCATTTGCATTTTATTTATTACTACACTGTGACATAAAAGCCAATTCTTTCAGTAGCTACATATACTCTGCAGAAATATGGATTTCAATGCTATTGTATCTGTGAAATGTGTTGCATGTGATCCTGACCTTAAATGTCAGTTGATAACTTTCCATTGTAAGCAAGTCTAATGGTAGTACAAAATCTGTGCCACTTGTTCTTTTGGTCAGACAAAGCCAGGTTATGTCTGTTTGGCTCTTCAAAGAATGGATTTGGATTCCGTGACAGTGACCTGGATATTTGCATGACACTTGAAGGCCATGAAAATGCAGAGGTAGGAGTTTCGCTTTTGAAGCTGAATTAAAGGAAGATTTATAATAATATCAAATGCTTATTCAAAGTGTTTGTTTGTATCTGAATTTTTAAAAGGATGTCTGTGTAAGTAGTAACTTGGGCTTTTATTTCTTTTATCTAGAAATTAAATTGTAAGGAAATTATAGAAAATTTGGCAAAAGTTCTTAAGAAGCACCCAGGTACATGTACTGATTTTGTGTTGCTTGGTAATGTGCATTTATGTGAATACTTTATTATAAATAATAGTTTACATGCTGAAACTTTTCCTTCTCAGGTTTAAGAAACATTCTGCCTATAACCACAGCCAAAGTGCCTATAGTAAAATTTGAGCACAGACGAAGTGGCTTAGAAGGAGATATCAGCTTATACAATACACTGGCAAGTAAAGTACTGTTCCTAGTGAGGGGTGAAAATGTGTTTATATGTGCTAATTCCTTAAAGTTTAAAAATTACCAGCAATATTTAAAATGTTTAGGGCAAAGTTGAAATGCAAAAGTGGTCTGTGTTTCATAAAATGTTAGTTGGTCTTTATAAATGGTCCATTCATTTGTGCTGTAGAAGTTACAAGAATCAGGGAGAGAGATTGAGAAAGTCCACCACCATAAAAAGGGGACAGCTGTAGTAGGTTTAAACCTTCCTATATATACATGTAATTTTCTTAACAACTTGTTAATGTATAAGTCAATACATTTGCCCTAGATGTAGCACCAACTCCCCACCTCCTACACTTTTTGAAGATAGGATTCTTATCTTCCTACAGATGCTAATTTTCTGCATTTCCTACCCCTAAGCATTTTTCTCTTTCTCTAACCAAGCTGATTACATTATGCGTTTTTTCTTCTTGTGACACTCCTCCCTTTTTACTGAGATATAAGGGCTCATGGATCCCCATTCCTATGTAACTGATAAAGAGATCATTAATTTTCAGAAGCTTATACCCTGGAAATCTTGTCCATCTTTACCAACAACATTTCCAGGGTGTAAGCGTTTGAGAGTCAAAAGTCACCATTGGGATGGGAGGCCATTGTCCTGAAAACCCTTTCTGATGGTCAGGAGACCCTCTTGAAGAAAATACACCATTGTATGGGGCTACAGTGAAGAAGGGGATTTAGGTAAAACCTCCTCCTCTCCCCACTTCCACTAGCAACTTGTACTGACCGAGGAAGGAAAAGGAGGTGATTGCACACAGTTCTCCCTTCCCAGTGTAGCCTCCCATACTGGGATTTGTTGTGTTCACAAGGGCCCCCTGACCATCAGAAGGAACTTTCAGAATAAACTGCAGATTGATGGTGGAAGGGAAAGATATGGAAAATATTTTAACTGTCAGCTCCTTCTGCAAGCTTTTAGACTGGAGCTAGCCTTCTTAACTTTTATTAGCCCCTTCACATTTGATGATAGTCACCATCTCAGCAAGCAGATCATACTCCACTATTAGATAATTCCTTAAGGTCTAAATATTGCACGCAATACAGTATTTAAAAACTTACAGGCAAAAGACTGAAATTAAAGAAGAGGTGCATTTTTCATACCATTTTTATACATGTTGTCCATAATACTGAGCCCGACTTTCTCTTCTTATTAAGAAGACAGTCATGCAGCTAGTCATTTATAAGCACCTGTGGTCTTTCTTTATCACTTTGTATATATGCATTTGATTGTATTTTGAACTGTCTATATGTTGTCCTGTGACCAACCCCAAATTTTGTAATGTAAACGTGCATAGACTATTGTTGGATAGTATTTCATACTGCCAACCTAGCAGTTCGAAAGCAAGAAATTGCAAGTAGATAAATAGGGACCACTTCGGTGGGAAGGTAACAGCGTTCCGTGCACCTTGGTGTTTAGTCATGCCGGCCACATGACCACGGAAACATCTTCGGACAGCGCTGGCTCTTCGGCTTTGAAACGGAGATGAGCACCGCAACCCTAGAGTCGGATTCGACTGGCTTTCGAGCAAGGGAACCTTTACCTTATTTCATACAATTGGATTGCACATGGTAATGTTCTGAACTCCAGTCTGGTATCTGAATCCTTGACTTCGTTTTCAGGCGCAGCACAACACAAGAATGCTTGCAACCTATGCAGCCATTGATCCAAGGGTACAATACTTGGGATACACAATGAAAGTTTTTGCAAAGGTAATATATAGCAAGTATAACTTTAGTGTATAGGTTGGTGTGCTAGACCATTTCTGTTCCCAGTAGCTGATGGAACTTGCTTTGAAAATTATACTCTGAACTAGTGAGGATTAAACTCCTCTCTTTTCCATATAAATCCAGAGAGGTTGTAGAAATATTAAACCAGTAAGTTTGGAAGCAATGAGGATTGAGGGTGAATAAACTGAAGTTTAATCAAGACAAGAGAGAAGTGTTGTAGATTGAGAGTAAAGTAGATGCACATCCTATTCTGGATAGAGATTATACCTCATGAAGAGCAGGTATACAGCATAAAGTTTTTCCAGCTGAGGCCAGTTTGCCAACTTCAAGAATTCCTGCAGAAAGCCAACCTGGCTGTTGTCACACATGCCTTGGTAACATCCAGATTGGAATACTGCAGCATACTTTTATGTGTGGCTGTCATTGAAGATGGTTTGTAAGCTTCAGCTGGTGCAAAGTGCAGTAGCCAGAGACTTGACTGGAACTTCTCACAGAATACATCAAACCAGTGCTGACTCAATTGCACTGGCTTCCAGTTTGCTTCTATGCCTCATGCAAGGTCCAAAGTACTTGAAGGATCAACCCACCTGAGTCTTAAGATGTATGAATGATGTCTTCCTGTAGGATATGTATTGTCTGTAATGAGGTTAGTGAAGACTTGTAGGGGGGCCTTTTGGTCTGCTGCCCCTAGATTGTGGAATTCCCTCCTCCAGGAGTTTAATCTTGTACTGTTTCTCTGAGATTTCCAGAGGAAATGGAAAACATTTTTATTCTGGGAAGTCTTTGAATGATGTTTTATGTTGCCAGTAATTTTATGGCATTTTTTGTTTTTAGTGTTTGTATATCTTTTGGGAGTTTTATTAGAGTAAGCCACATTTCTGCTGTAAAACACCTTTTTCCAAGATCGAAAAAAGAAAAAGAACAAGTGCCTAAACACATAAATAAATGAAGTAGCTTTTTTGTAAGTGTCTATGCTAAATGCTTGAAAAAGTTCAAGGAGTTTTTGCAAGTGATCAACAGGAACTCTTGCAAAAAAAAACCCCAAACAATCCCCACATATTCATGCAAAGGGACATCTCTCTCTGACTTTGCCAGATTTTCCTCTTCCCCTTGCAAATCTAATTCCAGTAATTTCTTGTTTAGATTTATGGAGCTCCTTCCCTCCTCTTCTTCTCTTTGCACAGGTAATGGGTTGGATCCTGTGATCCAGCAGCAGCAGGTGTTGATCTTCCTAGCTTTCCCTTACTTCCAGCAGTTTTTTTCCAAACCTAGGAAAATTTATTTCTGAGGTTGTGGAACCCATGTGGAGTAATAGCTGTGTGTGGGTCAGGAGGCAGTGGTGTGGAGGGGAAAGGGGATGAAATTGCTCTCTCCTGCCTCTTTTATGAGTGGAACTCTGTTGATGGATGAGCAGTTTTATCCCCTCCCTATTGCAGTCTCCTGACATCCTTGCATAGTTCTTGCATTCTCCTGCCACTGGATCCAGCCCAGCCCAAGGTTTGATGCTTGGGAATGGGGAAAAATGACAGGGAAGGTAAATGGCACATTCAAAAGGGTATGCATCCAACTTAGAAATGGGTTGAGTCTTTTCCACTTAGATGGTTTGCATTATGAGCCCCATAACATGACAATCATTAGTATCATTATTCTAAACAGTTAATATGTATATGTGCTTAGGTGAAAATTCTGCTCTGGGGCAGTTTCTCTGGTGTTGCTAGTGAGTCTACTAGTGATTGTTGTTCAGTTGCACAGTCGAGTCCGACTCTTCGCGACCCCATGGACCAGATCACGCCAAGCCTTCCGGTCTTCCGCCGTCCTCTGAAGTTTGCTCAACTTCATGTTCGTTGCATCTATGACGCTGTCTAACCATCTCATCCTTTGCCGTCCCCGTCTTCTTTTACCTTCAATCTTTCCCAGCATCAGGGTCTTCTCCAGTGAGTGCTCCCTTCTCATTTGGTGGCCAAAATATTTGAGCTTCAGTTTCATTATCTGGCCAACCAGGGAACAGTCAGGGTTGATTTCTTTTAGTATTGACTGATTTGATCTTCTTGCAGTCCAAGGGACTCTCAATAGTCTTCTCCAGCACCCTAGTTCAAAAGAATCTATTCTTCGGCACTCGACCTTCCTTATAGTCCAACTCTCGCAGCCATACATGACTACTGGGAATACCATTGCTTTGACCATGCAGACTTTTGTTGGCAGGGTGATGTCTCTACTTTTTATCATGCTGTTTAGGTTCGCCATCGCTTTCTTCCCAAGGAGCAGGCGTCTTTTAATTTCATGGCTGCTGTCACAGTCTGCGGTGATCTGGGATCCCAGGAACGTGAAGTCTGTCACTACTTCCACGACTTCCCCTTCTATTTGCCAAGGAGTGATGCCATGATCTTAGTTTTTTTGATGTTGAGCTTCAAGCCCACTTTTGCGCTCTCCTCTTTGAGCAAGAGGCTCTTTAGATCCTCTTCACTTTCTGCCATTAGAGTGGTATCGTCTACATATCTGAGGTTGTTGATCTTTTCCCCAGCAATCTTAATTCCCGCTTGTGATTCATCCAGGCCAGCATTTCACATGATGTACTCTGCATATATATTAAATAAGCAAGGTGACAATATACATCCTTGTCGTACTCCTTTTCCTATGCTAAACCAATCAGTTGTTCCATATCTGGTTCTAACTGTCGCTTCTTGACCCTTATACACATGTGAGGTGGTCTGGTACTCCCATCTCTTTAAGGACCTGCCATAGTTTGTTGTGATCCACACAGTCAAAGGCTTTAGCATAGTCAATGCTAATCAGATTAGTCAACATTAAATTAAGGATCCACAATAATTGTTAGCTTTTGAACGTTGGTATGACCGACGACTTAAATTGGATGCAGTGATAGAATTTTAATATGCATTTTCATACTGTACAGCAGAATCACTTTCTTGTAAGTCTAAAACTGCTACTCTAGGTCTTCTAATTATAACCTTACTGATAGGTGGCAAGAGCAGTGTTCCCTCTAAGATGAGTTAGTGTGAGCTAGCTCATAGTTTTTTAGCCTCCGGCTCACACATTTTCGTCTTCGCTCAGGAAGGGCTGGCTCCAGAGCAAACCAATTTATGCCGTAGCCAAGTCACTTGCTCACAACTTTAATGCCAACAGCTCACAAAGTAGAATTTTTGCTCACAAGACTCCACAGCTTAGAGGGAACATTGGGCAAGAGGCATTATTGTTAGCTATGTTTTCACTCTGGAACATTTCATAGCAAAATAAAATATATAGCTGCCAGGACACAAAACTCTACTTTAGGCATGCCCAAGGACTTTGTGCATAAACAGCAAAAAAAATATTTTTAATTTTTTACTTCGAAGAACAAACTCCTGTGCTGTATCACAAATGATTCTCATCAGTTTCGAAAGAGGTTGTGATGTAGCATAGCAGAGATAGTGTGGTGTAGTGGTCATAAAATTGACCTCATTGTCGATACTGAAGAGATAAAGGTTCAGATCACTATTTGGCGATGAAGGTCACATTCAGCCTAACCTAACTTAAATAATTGTGAAAGTATAAAATGGGGGATGGGGGGGAACCTGACTGAGGGGTAAAAATGTAATTAAATCAGAAAAACGGGAAACTTCTGCTTATGTGATGCATGCAAATCCCTCACAGGTGTGCAGAAGCAGTTGCCGAGCTTTTCAGATGTATACAATATTTGGTATTTCCCATGAATGAGAACTTTCAGTAATAAATTGTCCTTGAGTGCATTTGACTTCAGTTATTACTTTAGTGCTTAACAAAGGCTAAAAGTACAATATTCAGATTTGGCTGCATCACAAAACATAATTTATTATTTAACAAATATTTGATTTATGAAAGCAATGTTTGTTCAATGTCATAATTATTAGAGCTAAATTTTGTGTTCCGTTTTCTTATATGTTTCGTTGACTAGCGCTGTGACATTGGCGATGCATCCAGAGGGAGTCTGTCTTCATACGCCTATATTCTTATGGTGTTATACTTCCTACAACAGAGAAATCCACCAGTTATCCCAGTTCTTCAAGAGGTACGTTATTAGGAAAAGGCGGGTGAACAATAGTTTTGAGAATTCTCACTACTTTTTCTCAGTGATGGTCTTAGCTATTATTCAATGTAAAGCTGTTGATGGAACAAATGTGTCTTGCCCTAGCTACTTGGGGCTCTTAATTTGCCAACATGAGCTTCCTTTATTGCTGGAATTGATGTGTATCATCATGCATGACAATTGCATGTGCAGGCTTTTTGCTGCACATATAAGCAGTGAAAAATCTGCATGTACAGTTGTCATATGTATGGTGTAACACATTAATTCCTATGTAGAATTGCTATTTTGTTATGTCTGAATCTGTCTGAAGTCAAGAAAAATGTGTGACTTCAAATGGAGCTAAAAGATAAGACGTGACAATCTTTTTTATTTTTAAGTAAAAAGAGCTGCGGTGGCTCAAGTGGTTAAGACGCTGAACTGCAGGCTGTGGAAGGTCGATAGTTTAGCAGTTCAAGACCCGAGTGTGCCGCATGACGGAGTGAGCTCCCGTCTCTAGTTCTAGCTCCTGCCAACCTAGCAGTTCGAAAGCAAGAAATTGCAAGTAGTTAAATAGGTACCACTTCAGCGGGAAGGTAACAGCGTTCCGTGCGCCTTGGTGTTTAGTCATGCCAGCCATATGACCACGGAAATGTCTTCGGACAGCGCTGGCTCTTCGGCTTTGAAATAGAGATGAGCACCGCAACCCTAGAGTGGGATTTGACTGGCTTTCGAGCAAGGGAACCTTTACCTTTACCTAAAAAGGGTGAACTATTGTTTTGACCTTGATTGTCCTTAACCAAGAGTTATCTAAAATGTCAGACAGTTTTTTTCGAGCAATTCTCTTTTTGAGCAAATGTAGACTGCATTGCCATTACCAATAAGTAACTACAACTATCATCTGTCTCACCCACCATGCTAATACCCATATCTGATATGAAGAATCAGGGCTTCCAGGTCAGAGTGTGTGGTTTTTCTGGCAGGCTAGAGCTCTAACATCTCTTTTTAATTAAAAAATTGTTAATGTTCGGTAGGTAGACTCAGTTGAGACCCTAGTGACTTTTAAAAAAGGTTATTTCTTTTCCTGTATCTTTTCTGTACTTTTTCTTGTTTATTTACTTCATTCTTGATGATGTTTTAGATATTTGATGGACAACAGATCCCCCAGAGAATGGTTGATGGGTGGAATGCTTTCTTCTTTGATGATACTGAAGAACTGGTAATGTTCTGATTCTGGAATAAACAATGAATTCTTAGGTATAGGTTTATTATAACACAATCTACATATTATATTCTAACAATGAATTCGGCCAATCTTTGGATACTTAAATCCGGTGACTAGAGCTGTGAATAGGCAAGACAGAATTTTCTACAAACCTGAAAAGGGCCCCAGGTTTGTAGGAAAAAGTGAAATAAAAAAGGGTTTTTTTTAAAAAAAAATCTGAAACGGAGAAAAGGAGCACCTATAGCTTTAAAAAACAGATTCCCTCAGTGGCTGTTGCTAGGCAACCACAGTATTCCAGGCTGAGTTTTTATGAATCAAAAGTCAAGGGGAGGGGGCAGGGCCTTTCCTGGCCTATTTTGGCCTTTGAGGGAGGATTCATTCGGGCTCGGCCTGACTCAGGTTGCCAGGTCCAGGGTGGGAAATTCCTGGAGATTTTGTGGTGAAGTCCGAGGAAGGCAGGGTTTGAGGAGGGGAGAGTCCTCAGCATGGTATAATGCCACAGAATCCATTCCCCAAAGCAGCCATTTTCTCCAGGGGGACAGATCTCTGTTGTCTGGGGTTCAGTTGTAATTCTAGGGAATCTCCAGATCCCACCTGGAGGCTGACAGCAGCTTCTGAGTGACTTAGTACCACTCAACTTGCATGACTCAACTGGCTGCTTGCTATTGTTCAGTAACAGCCACCCTATGACAGCTAGTGTGGTGTAGCGATTAGAGCTTCAGAGTAAGGTCTGTGAGACCCAGGTTCAGATCCCTATCTTGCTGTAGAAGCTGACTGCAGGTGCTAAAAGCATTTGCCAGAGTTAAATGTAAGGCTGGAATGAAAGATGAGGATTCGCCTTTACTTCTGTGGCATTTCCCCCAGTGCCCTGCAATTCTGTGCTCCTGTCTGAGCTACAGGCAAATTAAGGGGGCGGGGGGGGGGGGCAGAAAGCTGAAGACACAGGGGCAGATAAAGGCTGGCTGGCTGTTGGGTGGGAAGGAGATAGGGTTGCCAGGTCCAGGTTGGGAAATTCCTGAAGATTTGAGGAGTGAAGCCTGGGGAGGGTGGGCTTTGAGGAGGTGTATAATCATATACTCCATCCTCAAAAGCAGTCATTTCCTCCAGGGAAATAGCATTGCCGGTCTCCAGGTGAGGGCTGGAGATCACCCAGATGACAGAGATCAGTTCCCCAAGAGAAAATGGCTGCTTTGGGGGTGGACTCAATGGCATTATACCTTGCTGAGATAGCTTCCCTCCCCAAATTCCATCCTCCCAAGACTCCACCCCCACTTCTCCAGGAACTTCCCAACCTGAAGCTGGCAACCCAAAGGGGAACTGATCTCTGTAGTTGGGAGATCCATTGTGTTGCGTGGATACCAGGCACTGCTACTGTGTGTGTGTGTGGGGGAAGGGAAGTAGATGGGCAGCTGGAAGCACGCCAGCACTGATGCTGCAGTGGGGGCGGAGGAAGCGGGCGGGAAGCCGGGAGAGTGATGGGGGCAGAAAGAGAGAGTTATGGGTAGAAGGCAGAAAGAGACAGAAAGTGTGAAAGGGTAGGGGGCAGAAAAAGAAAGTGATGAGGTGGGGTGGCAGAAGGAGAGTGATGGGGCAGAAAGAGAGAGAAAGTGACAGACATGGAGGCAGGAGAGTAAGAAAAGAGATGGTAGGAGGGAGAAAGAGTGAGAGTCTGAGAGAAGTAGGGGGAGAAGAGAGGAGGCAAAGCTGGGAGAAATGGGATAGCTGCTCCAACAAGTTTCTTGCGGGTCCCCATTTGCAAATACACTAACTTATTATGAAGAAACAGTGATGTGCTTGGCATTGCGCAAATGGGAAAAAACCTCATTCACAGTATTTTGAACATAGGGAAGGAGAATTAAAAAGCAAGTTTTTATAAAAAGCAGATGTGGATAAAGTTATAGAAAGAACTTTTAAGAAATGTAGAATTATAAATAAAGAAGCGCAAATGAAATCTATTCATAACCTTTTGAAAACTGTCACATGGGGAAACTCCCATGTTTTGCTCTATGGGTAGCAAACCTTCTAGCTCTTCTAGACTTCTCTTTGAAACACTCAGGTGACACATTGATTGATTGTACAAGTGTTGTAGGAGTTATATGACCAAAGTTCGTCATAAAAACTATATAATTTATGGGTAAGCATGGGGGGGGGGGGGGGGGGATGGAACATGCATTGTTTATGATGGCGCAGGGAGACAAGAGCCCCTGCACCAACTACAGATGAGCTGAAGTACAATAAGATAAGGTACCTAGAAGGCAGCCAAGTAACACAACTGCTCCTGCATTGCCTATCTGTTGCTGCTGACCTTATCTTTCCGTGAACTGCACTGGATGCCTGTTGAGTACCGGATCTGTTTCAAGGTGCTGTTGCTTACCTTCAAAGCCCTATATGGCCAGAGGACTGCATACCTGCGAGACAGCCTCTCTCCTTATGAGCCCTGAAGAGCTTTACGATCTGCTAACCAAAATCTACTGGTAGTCCCTGGCCCCAGGGACATCCGTCTCACCTCAACTAGGGCCTGGGCTTTTTCGGCCCTGGCCTCTACCTGGTGGATTGAGCTCCCACATGAGATCAGGGCCCTGTGGGGCCTTTTACAGTTCCATAGGGCTCAAGTGGTTAAGACACTGAACTGCAGACCGGAAGGTCAGTAGTTCAGCAGTTTGAGACCCGAGTGCTGCATGACGGAGTGAGCTCCCGTCTCTGGTCCCAGCTCCTGCCAACCTAGCAGTTCAAAAGCAAGAAATTGCAGGTAGATAAATAGGTACCACTTTGGTGGGAAGGTAACAGCGTTCCGTGCACCTCGGCATTTAGTCATGCTGGCTACATGACCACGGAAATGTCTTTGGACAGCACTGGCTCTTCAGCTTGGAAATGGAGATGAGCACCGCATCCCTAGAGTCGGCTTTGACTGACTTTCAAGCAAGGGAAACCTTTACCTTGACCTTGACCTTGACCTTGGGCCTGCAAGAAGGAGCTCTTATGCCAGGCTTTTAGTTGAGGCGGCAGGTGTCCTCCTTTTATCTATCTATTGGGCCTCCCCTTCGGTGGATCAGATCTGAGCAATATCTGGAATCTAATTGTGACAGGTTACATCTGTTGAGGCTTTGATTATAGAAATTTTATCTGATGTATTTTAACTGTTTTTAATTATTGTATATGATATTTGATGGAACCCAGCCTAAGTCCGTTGTGCAGGGAGGGCGGGATACAAATCCAATAAAATAAGAATAAATAAATAAATAACTTCAGCAGTATTTCCTAAGGACCTGTTGCTGAGTTAGCTCTACACTGCTGTTTCTTGATGGAAAACTCAGCACAGTGCTATGGTGGCATTGTCTGCATGCCACCTCATTTTTTCTTTTTTAGCATTCAAAGAACAAATGGCTTGTTACAACTAGGGAGTATGTATAAGTCATGGCCAAAGTACTGGACTGTGTGTTTTATATTTGTGCAGATAATGAACATGGCTACCGAGGCTGCCAGTCAGACTTTTCCATTTAAAAACCTTATGATTGCTTATGAATCCAGTCAACCTATAGAGTGAGAAGGAAGTGGGTAGACTTGCAACATCATTTAGATGGAGTTTCCCTTTTAAACATCAGTGATTCCTTTAGCTGGGGAACTATCTGTCTCAGAACTTAATCTGTTTTGAAAAACAAAAGTAAAAAGAAATAAAAAAAAAGAACTGGGGATTCTAGGAGGGAGACAGGAAGGTGCCTTTATCTGGAGCCTCCTCAGATAGAGCATTTCCCATTACTGTAAAACTTTATTCCCTTTGCCTGTTACTATGCGTCAACTTACATTATGAAAATGCAGTTTCACAAGAGATTCACATACCATTCCAAAGTAGTATGTTCAGACAAAACTGCTTTTGTTAATTCAGTCTGCTCTAAATTTTATACAGAAAAACCGTTTACCTTCTCTTGGGAAAAACACAGAATCACTGGGAGAACTCTGGTTAGGGTTACTGCGATTTTACACTGAAGAGTTTGACTTCAAGGAATATGTCATTAGCATTCGACAGAAAAAGCTGTTAACCACCTTTGAGAAACAGTGGACATCCAAATGCATTGCTATTGAAGGTACTTATGGAATGTTAGTTATCAGTAGAAAGAATACATCCCCCAGAGGAACTTTCACAGTAATGTAGGATGTTTATATGCATTATACCCTTAATGCTGTGCGATATTGACTGGTGTAGCCACATTTATAGTAGTCATTAACAGGAAATGTTACTTATTAAATAATTATTTCTGAACTGGTATAAAGCTCACTAAAGTCTCGATTGGGATCCAGAGAGCAGTGAGTAAAAGAAAAACATCAACTAGCACTGTTTCACGAACACTTGTACAAGAATTAATGCATGATAACTGGTTTCGACACCAGTTTTCATGCTTCTGCTTGTGTAAGAGGTTGCCAAAACTTGTGTGAACAGAACATAATTTTTGTATTTTGTTGAACTTTTATTCTATGTTCTAGTTAGTGTAAGATCTAAAACAACCCTTCTGTAAGTGGAAATTACCTTCTGCATGCAGAAGGGCACCTTTTGATTCAACCCATAATATTTAATCATAACCATTTTCTTCTGTTAAAATGAAGATGTATGTGTTAAGGACTATAAACCTAGAAATTAATCATTCATTACAATGCTAGCAGTATAGTTTACCTGTTCTTTTATCTCCTTTGCTCAGATCCTTTTGACTTGAACCATAACCTGGGTGCAGGAGTTTCCAGAAAAAGTAAGACTGGAGGGGGAAAGCCCCTAATATTCAAAATTGAATTTCTAAAGAAACATGATTTCTTTAATATTTTTCTTCCTTTCACAGTGACCAATTTCATAATGAAAGCATTAATCAATGGGAGAAAACTATTTGGTACCCCTTTCTATCCAGTACTGGGAAGAGAAGCTGTAAGTTTTTTCATTTAGAAAATTACACTTTTAGCTGTCAGAAATGACCAGGTACCTTACTGCAGTTTTATTGGATCTTTCACATACATATAAATGAATTCAGTAAACTTAACAGATGTTGTAGCACAGCTTGTAAGAAAAAGGCCACTTCAACAGATGCATGAAGTGTGTAATCTCTGACATTTCTGTGCAAAACTCAGATTTTTAAAAGACAAGCACAGTGACAATTCATTTTCTTTTTTTACTTCCAAAATATGAATCTATATTTTAATCTGAATTATCATATGAATAAAGTTTTGTCATAGAAGTATTTGTGCATGTGTGTGTGTGAATAGAGGTACTCCTGTTTTTAGAGGTCTGTGCATATTGCTGTTTCTCAAGGCTTGCGTTCCATACATGCGAAGCCTACATGTGACGGTTACCTTATTCCTGAGGTGAGCTCTTGCTGCCTCCCACCCTGTCAAAGGATATAGTTGTAAGTGTAGTTGTCTCAGAGAAAAAACCCCAGTGCTCAGGCACACTGGCACCAAACAACACATAGCAGGATAAAGTACTTATTGATTCTCCATACTTATGGCAAAGCTTGTGGTCTTGCACTGTCATGGCTGTTGGCTACTTTATTTCTCATGCATATAGTCCCAAGAACACTTATTTTATCTAAAAGCTCTCTGAAAAAACTCACATTGTCTTTGATGGCTATGTTGTCTGTTTATTGGCTTGGATCCAGTAGAGAGTTTGCATTAATGGAATGATTTCTGCATATGGAATTTTCTAATGTTCTTTCACCCCTGCACTCAAAATACTGTTAGACCATAAGAACATAAGAGAAACCGTGTTGGATCAGGCTTATGGCCCATCCAGTCCACGTCTGTGTCACACAGTGGCCAAAATCCAGGTTCCATCAGGAGGTCCACCAGCGGGGCCAGAACTCTAGAAGCACTCCCACTGTTGCCCCCCAAGCACCAAGAATACAGAGCATCACTGCCCTAGATATAGTATTCCATCTATAGCTTGTGGCTAATAGCCACTGATGGACCTCTTAAAGCTGTCTATACTTGTAGCCACCACCACTTTGTGCAACAGTGAATTCCACATATTAGTTACTCTTTGAGTGAAGAAGTACTTCCTTTTATCTGTTCTAAGTTTTGTTGTTCAGTCGCACAGTCGAGTCCGACTCTTCGCAACCCCATGGACCAGCTCCCGCCAGGCCCTCCTGTCTTCCGCCGTCCTCTGAAGTTGGCTCAATTTCATGTTCGTTGCATCGATGACACTGTCCAACCATCTCATCCTTTGCCATCCCCGTCTTCTACTACTACTCATTAATTTCATTGAGTGCTCATGACTTGTATTGTAAGAAAGGGAGAAAAGTACTTCTTTCTCTATCTTTTCTATCCCATGCATAATATGTATACAGGGGGATTATGATACTGGCTGATGTTCTCCCTCTGAGCTGGAGGACATCTGATTGTGGGTGATTCCCACCCTCCTTTCAGGGAGGCAGGACTTCCAAGAACTTCCTGTTTCCTGTGTGGGAGTCACCCTCATCCTCAGTTCTTTTCCTGCCTCAAGAGGGAGAGCAGCGTTTTTAGGCTTTGCCAAACTTTTTGCCTTTCATCTTTTCCTTTTTTACTTGCACTGACCTCTCTTTCTTCCCCTTTTTTCCCCTTAGGTTTTTCCCCCGGGATTCCTTATTTCAAAAAAAAAAAAAGAAGAAGAAGGGGGTGGAG